CTTTCATTTATAGCCAACGAGCATTGTATGGAGAGAATATAAAAGGTGTTCCCCCAAGTGTGGATATAGAGAAATTCCTGAGTGACTTCGGAAGTAGTTCTATGATACTCTTCAAGGGCATCTTCTGACAGGGCGTCATTGATGGCAGCGGTTGGGGGGGGGGGGCGTTTCAATCCGTCAAATGTGTCTGCAGGTAGATCGAGGAACAGTTTCGCAAGCCGCAAGCTCGTCTTTCCCGCCATCGCATTGTTGGAGATCGTCAGCAAGGGGCTGCCAGGACTTAAACCCCGCAGCCAGGGAAAGAGAAACAACAAGCATAAGCCCAAACTGGTGCAGGCCGCAGGCGCTGATACCACAGAGTGATCTGACACAGTGGCCACTGTACAATTATATAACTTGAGGTTTCGCAGTCGGGGGATGTTGATAGATGTCTCAAATTTTCAGGGAACTTTTCCGGGGGCTGGGAATTCCTTGTGCAGGGAACGCGGTGCTGGCCGAGGCGCTCGTGTCAGCGTGCCGTGGCACGAGGAACAGTTACCGTGGCACGCTGACACTCGCACAGCGGGGGCCAGAGCCTGGGTTCGAATCCAGGTTTCGCAGCACCAGCAACTAATTAGTTTCATTCATAAACTTACGGAGAAATAAGACTACACCAAGGCACCGTAGGTGAATTGTACGCATGATACACTTTGTAAGACTTTTGACCTTTGTAAAACTGCTAATCACACATTTATGAAAGAGATCGAAGCATCCGGGCAATAGGAAGGGATATTACTCGTTTAAAATATCACATTTTCCTTCTCTTTCAATTATTCAGCTGCGCAAAAAAAACAACAACCGAGACATGCGAAAGCCGATGCACACATCACGTCCATGTAGCAGCGCGCCTAGACTTGCCGATGGTGATTCAAGACGACTCTGATTATTATTATTATCAAACCCCGGTGGTCGGACAATGGCAGGTGGCAGTGAAAATCCGACGTGGATCCACTCCACCTCACCGAGACGAGGCGGCTCCCCCATGCAGAGTGAGTGACGACGTGGACCCGCGTCGATTGCCGCGTTCATTTATCAAATAATGTGCGTCATCAGTGGCCGTGATTCACCTCGCTCGTGGGGAGCTCCGGGGCCGTGGTCTCAAGTCGGGGCTCGCTCTCGCCGAGCCAGCACCAGGCGTGGATCCCACCCAGCTCTCCACGGTGGAGCTCACGCTGCCCCACGGTGGAGCTCACGTAGCCCCACGGTGGAGCTCACGAAGCCCCACGGTGGAGGTCGCACAACCCCGTGACGGAGTTCGCACGGCCGCACGGTAGAGGTCACTCGGCCCCACGCAGGAGCTCACACAGCCTCGCGGAGGTGGTTACGCAGCTCCACGGTGGAGCTCACGGAGCTGGATGGAGTTTCCGTAGCGAAATGAAAGTGACCATCGCACGAAGTGGACTGGGAGGTTGAAAAACGAAGGAGCGTTGTCTGGTGGAGGGGATGACGCTGAGGGGAGGGTAGGCTTCAGGCTGCGAGGGGTTTGAAGATGGTGATCATGACGACGATGCGAACTGGAAGCTTGTGTGGAGTCTGGTGGACTCATGCAATGCACCTTTTGCGAGTCAAATGCTAACTAACATCCGTCTGGAACCCAATTTGAATGAAAACAAAAAAGCCATGTTGATGAGCCACTCGTGAAACACCACCTCACCACTTCCCAGACAATTGACAAAGCTGGGACACAGTACAGCCTCACAAATCCAGAGTGGCACGCACACTGTTTATTTTGTAGCCAGGCCCAATGAGGAGACTGGGTCTTCGCATCACCGGGAGGCCTGGGACTTAGCAGGAGACTCTTGCTGCTCGAGCCACGCACCCACCCACGTGTCCTCACGGGCACAGCAAGGACAGCCGCTACGCGATGGCGACGTCGCCCCAGCACCTGTGCCAGGCTAGGTGTACTCTGAAGCTATTTGAAGTTGGCAGGAGGCCACGAGAAAGACCCAGGTGCTGTGGGTCGACTGACTAAGGCACCGCTCCCCGCTGTGCCACCTCGCTTTGTTTAATCTGCCTGGCGCTCTGCTCGTTGTTGCCACCTCCACAGAGGAGGCTCGTTAGAGACACTTTTGTTTCCATTCATCGGAAAGTGCACACGCCTCCAAATAAGTGGCAGGCAGACTCGGTGGTAACACTTGTGCCTCATAGCAAGAAGGACCTGGGTTCGATTGCCGACTTGGGCACCTTTCTGAGTGGAGTTTATTGTCTACCCCTGTTCTGCATGGGTTGCATCCGGTTATACACAGCTTAAAAACACATACACACACACATTGTGACTTGTGTTCACCAAACATTCAAATGCAGAAAAATGTACCTGCAAATCACTCAATTGGGATTACACAAAACAACAACATCCTTCCCTTCGGGGAAAACTCGGCAGAGGCCTCCTGAAAGAGAGATGCGACACGAGGTGAGGCTCGCGTGGGTCAACGTCGGCCGATCTCTTCTCGAGCCTGCGCTGAGCCTGTTGGTCCCCCGATCTGCGGCCAAACAGAAGCTGCCTGGCCACGCGGTGGCTGGGCATGCGGCCTCCTTGACGATGCGACTGTGCCCAGATCGCTCGGTGATCTGTGAGCTCCTCACACCGTAATCCAGTCTAAGCCTGGATTGTGTGGACACACGTACACCACCACCACACACTGCCAGCGTGACTTACACAGCAGCTCTCTCAAACTCCGCCTGGTGGAGGCCCTTCCGCCGGCAGTGACGCGAGCAGGAAACTGCAGGGCTGCGCTTTTTATCTTCCGACGCGCGCACCTACCGCGAGCCTTGGAATAGATTTTTCCGTCGACGAATCGCAGCGCGCCCTCTGGGCAACTCGTCCCCGCGATCAACTTGCGCGGTGGAGACGCGATCGTCTGAATTGCCGCCGCGCTCGGCGCTGCGTGTCCCGACACGGATCCCATTCGCGGGTGGCCAGGAGCGCCCTATGTGTCGGGACTGGTCCCGTGTCACCTTTGTTTCAATATTTCCCACGACACAAAATAGCGCGTTGATTAATCGCTCATCAAACTCCGAGCCTTCCTGTTCGTCAGGTTTACGGGGTTGGTTTAATATATGGAGGGGGCTTGCGGGAGGGGGGGGGGGGGTACAGAAAAAAACATTGCTCTTGACGCCAATATTAATTACTTCGTTACAAAAATCTATTATATTCCCAAGGCACATTCCTGTGTTACTGCCATTGCGGGACACGGAAACTGTCCGGCGTAGCGTGCCACAACCCTGGGTCGCAGGGCTGAGAGATGCGAATCCGTTTGTCAATCCACTGCTGGATGGGGGCACTCTACACACCTTGCGGGTCGCGCGGGCGAATGTCAGAATCAGAATCCTAATTTGGACTGGAGGAATCTGATGAGCTATGAAGCACTTCTTCACAGATGTCCAGTAAATATCACCAACCTAACCACTTCGGCCAGTGCGGGTTGGTTTACGGGTTGACGCGGGGAGCGTAGAAGTACGGTAGAACAATGCATTGTAGTGTTGCTCACACTCATTGCCTATAACACCTATAACACCTGTTATTCACGGTGGTCACCAATACAAGAGCTGTTCAGGCTCACACCTACCTAGCTTAGGAGAGCTGATGAGGGTGGAAGCATGCCGCGTGGATGATTGCCGATGGCCGGAACCGGGATAAGATGAGTTTTAAATTCGAACATGACCCCTCACCAGGGCAGACCTTCATGACACCACTCCGCTATGTCCTTCCTTGGCCAAACTGCAGCGAGGCAACACTTGTCATAGGATTATTGTGGTGGTGGTGGTGGCAGCTGCGGGCAAGATATTTTGACTGTGTGGTGGCATTGGTGGCTGTGGTGGTGATGATGATTTTGATGATGGTGGTGACTGTGGCGATGATGATGGTGAAGGCTTTATGCAAGTGTAGTGTTGACATCGATTTCCTTAAAGGCATATACAAACAAACCTACCAGCTCTTATCTTATACACACCTAGCCCGCGTGTCACGGTGGCATCGCTCCTTTATTATCATTATTCAAGGTGACATCACGAAAGTATTCCTATTTAAAGCTTTCGTGACTGCAGGGATCCATCTTCTTGGTTCTTTCGGTGAAGTCACGTAGAAGGGAAGTAATAAAATAATAAAAATAAAAATAATAAAATAAAATAATATAATAATAATATTATTTTATTTTATTATGTTATGTATTATTATTTTATTTTATTATGTTTTATTTTTATTATTTTATTACTTCCCTTCTACGTGACTTTACCGAAAGAACCAAGAAGATGAAAGTATTCCTGACCATCACTTTAAAGTATTTTTTGTTATAATTAACGAAGCCTCACTCTCTCATCCTCGGATCCCGTTCCCAATGGAAGCTCCAAACGATGACGAGCGTCGCAATGAGACGTTGACGGCTGCGGAGCGAAGAATCGCTACGACCTTGACCCGTTCAGTTCGCCACGGCATGGAGGAGCGGTGGCGCTGTGGTTAGCTCACCGCGCTGTTGACGAAGCGACCCGTTTAAAATTCTCCACGGCTCACATTCGGTGGCAAGTGACGTCTGAGCCAGGTCTGTGTGTGTGTGCGCGTGTGTGTGTGTGCGTGTGTGTGCGTGTGTGTGTGTGTGCGTGCGTGCGTGCGTGTGTGTGTGTGCGTGCGTGTGTGTGCGTGTGTGCGTGTGTGCGTGCGTGTGTGCGTGTGTGTGTGCGTGCGTGTGTGCGCGTGTGTGCGTGCGTGTGTGCGTCTGTGTGCATCAGTTCACCAACCCACACGGACAGAGCGTGGTGATGTTCTGGCCAAACAATGCCAATGACCACCGATACGGCCGTGGCAGGAGGCCTTCATCCAGCAGTGGATTGTAATTGACTATCAGGTTAAGTTGTCGAGTCTGGGCACCCTGCAAGTCCTGCGTAAGATACACTCAGTGCTCGATAATTAAAAATACAGATTTCGTTTTGTTAGCCGCTTAAATTGAATAATGTGGAATGCCATGCTCTAGCAATTACACTGTGTTTATTTATTCAGTACAAATTAAATGTTTAAAAGGTTACAGGGCGAATAAACATCGGAGAGTGAGAAATAATGTTATATATTTTTCGACTAACAACTGCCTTGTAATGTTATTAATACATTTTATTAATAATTTTAACTTAAAAAAACATGGTAATGTCCCAGACACGTATCTCATAAAAGTCATAAAAGGTATTAAATTATAAAAACCTGTCGATCGTCGTCATAATAATAATAATATACTTTTGTTCCAGCGTACGTTTTGTAGTCTTATTTTCGTTAGCATATACGGAAAAAATATTATAGATAATAAAAAATATTTTTTCTACTTAAAAAAAAAACATTTGTGGCAATGTTTCCAGTTATACGATGGCCTTGTGTGATACAGGTTTACAGCGATTATCATTTTACTATTAATACAGACAATGGGTACGGTTCAGGCTATTCCATAACGTGATTGTACAGACATGATACATATACGTGTCACATTTGTTCTCTTTTCGCCGTTTACGTATCAAAGTGTGATTTCGGTTTCAACGTTCGGGTAAATGCTCGTAAACGTGCATTTTGAACGTTGCTCAGTGAGCTGCGTGCACTCCGCACAGAGGCACCGACACCTTCGTTGTGTCAGCCAGGTTTGGGCCTCATGTAGTCGGCCGAGTCGCAGCACAGAGACGACTTTCGCAGGCGATGCCAGTCCCACAGCGCTTCCTGTCGCTTCAAAATCGCTTGCGATTTTCACGTTGGCAAAGTCACCGAGATCTTCCCATTGGTCTCGAAGTACAGTCCTCCCTGTGGGTCTTGATCACTTTGGGCTTCCTGCAGCTCGGGCCTTCCCGTGGGCCTCGTAGCACAGGACTTCTTTGTCCATCATCCATCAGTCAGGGTTTCTTGTGGGCTCAACTTATTGGACCTTTCTCATAAGCAGGCATAGTCAATCACACTAAAAATTCCACCAAGCCAAACAGGCCATCTCGTCTGCCGAAACAGTTACCCAAGTCGCTGGGGCCTTCACTCACCCTCCGTTTGTTCACTTGCGTCCAGTAGTCCCACGTGGTGGTGAATCGTCGTGTTTTCACAGTTTTTATTCGATTAACTTTATAACTTTTTTTTTGTCGTGCAGCAACAGCCGTAGGTTCCTTTGACTCTTTTTATTTCCCGTTTACACGACGGTTGCTTGCTCCAACAACGTCCGGTTCACTGGAACACCTGTGACCATTTGCATCACTCTTCGTCCAACTTTGTCCTTGCCCACGGATAGCCAAGTATTGGCCACCGAGGGACAGAAGACATCTCTAATCCAAGCGCCGTGCCGTCCGGACTCGGGAATCCGCACACCGAACCCCGGCGGTGTTGGCGACAGAAACACTTGGGATGATTTTGCTTAATGAAGCACGCGGAGTTCGCGTAACGTTGCGTTATCAAGACAACGTCGACACGACTCGCGCGCGCGGAACGTTTTGAAGTCGTAGCGCACGGGGTGGTTCCGATCGTTGGGACGTGCTCGTCATTCTCCGATTTGTTTGTTTGTTCCCGAACAGCGGAAGCGTCACCTCGAGCGAGAGCGCGTGCCAGGGCCTCGCGTGGCGCGCGGGCCGACGCTATACCCCGACGAGGACGCCCATGAAGTCGGAGCCCTTCTGCACGACGATGGCGGCACCAGCACTGTTCTCCACGCTCACGGACGTGTGCTGCCCGACCTGGGAGCCGGGGAAAGCGAACGGCATGAGTCCGAGGGATGGCGACGCAAAGACGGGTGAAGGAGTGAGAGAGGTGAACGCACAGCTGTCGAGGTGTATACGCGAGTTTGTGATCGTCGTCGTCGGCAGCAGTAGGAATGGCGTCATCGACGATCATTGTCGTCGTCCGTGGCAGTAGTAGCAGAAACAGCAGCAGAAGCGGTATCATTATCAGTAGCAGCAGGAATCAGTTTTGCAGATGTCGTCACATCACCATCAGAAGTAGAAGCACTGCAATAAGCATCATCATGAGCGGCAGCATCAGAATTAGCGCTATCGTTACTATCACTCATCAGATGCCAACATCAGTATCATCATCTTAAACATCATATTTACATATCCTCGCCTCTGTCCGTAAAGTACTCTACAAGTGTCCTTATCAATAAACCCTGACACTCATTTTAGACCCAGAACAATTGAACTGTTATGATCACAACACTCCATTGCAAGATTTTTCCAACGCTGATGTTCACAAACGTACGCCATCATTCGATATTGGCATTAGAGATGTGGTTCAAACATGATTCTCGATGTAAGAATGCATTTTTTGGTTTTGTTGGTATGATTTGTAAGTCCCAATTGTCAGACACGGTCTTAAACGTACGAGCTCTTCCAGTCATGCACAGCTGCGGTCACCTAACACACACGGTAAGAGGATTTAGAGGGGAGACGATAGACATTTTGCGAATGTCTCCCATTGTAGATACTCTGCATCGATTCGTCACCAATTACGTCCTAAATTCCTGGGACCAAAATCACCCAGAATGCGCCAATCTCAGAAGCTAAGTCGGGGTTGAGCCTGGAATGTGTTTGGATGGGCGACCACCTTGCACAACAGGTTGCTATAGGCTGCTGCAGGGCTACGTGGTGAGCAGCAGGGTCGGATGTGTGCAACAAAATCCAAGGTTGCACTGCACTTCCACGCTCCCTGCCTCCGCCCACCTACTTTCACCAACTTGGCGAAGGAGCTCCCCGCAATCCACAGCACGTGGGAGAGGCCCTCATCCAGCAGTGGATTGACAAAGAGGGCTGAACATGAACGCACCCCAGTTGGTGTTTCTGCCGACAAGGCGCGTGACTGAGTTTTGCGTCGCTAGAACACCTCGTCAGGAAGCCGTGCGACGTGGGGGGATCTGGCGCTGACGTGGACACCGCAGAACTACGTCCGACGTCGCTTCGCTCGTCTCCTCTCTCCGGGCCACGAGAGGGCGCTGGCTCACACCTCGTGGGGTCCTGCGCGGCTCTACCTCTGGACCCGACCTCACCACCCGCTTCAACAGCGGCACCTTACCTCCAACCGCGTGCTCACTCACCGCACGCTCTCTCTCACCACGTGCTCTCTCACAGCGCGCCACCCGGCGGGTTTACGAACGTTGGCCTTTGCCACTGGGGTAAGCGGAGTTTAGTGAAACAAAACGAGTATTAGTGCTGCGGTGGGAGAGAGTTGAGCGAGAGAGTGAATGACTTGGAGGATCTTTACGTTATAGGAGTGGGATGGGGGGGAGGAGGTCGTTACTCCAATTGCGTGGTTGGCATCACGCGCCAGACGGGGATTCCACTCTCTGAGAGGTGCCAGGGCATCGCCAAACCAACTTGTGTTTCATCCTCAGACAGCTCAGCTTTAGCTGAATTCAGCGACAAAGAGGTAAATTAACGTCATAGGTTTCTGTGCAGTCGTTGGTGATGTGGAAGAGACCATTGGCTCACTACATTCCAAAGCTGGGTTAAGCTGAATTTAACACCAAAGTAGTCCTGAAAATAGGTAAGATCTGATTTTATGCAGTCGCAAGCGGCCATGCCTCCACCATCAACTTGATTAACCCAAAGACCCAGTTTGAGTTCCGTGCGGCTAAACCGGGACTCAAACCCAGACTGTCGTCGTACTCGAGCACGGAGCCCTTGGGGGGCACCTTCCCGACGTGTCCCAGGCCTCGCGCCGCCCCGCCGGTGCCAGCGCGGGCTTTGGCCGGCGTGGAGCACACACCTGTAGCTGGAGCAGCCCCTGCAGGTGCAGCGTGAAGACGCGGCTGTTGCTCTCGAGGCCTGATGCCGTCTCCAGGGGCCTGCGGCACGGACCGCGGGACGGACAGGACACGGCGCGCACGTCAGGGAGAGCAGGAGGAGGAGATCGCCGCGGTGGCGACGCGGAGTGCACAAGGCGTCGCTGAAGCTGCCACGTTTTCTGGGAGGCCTCAACAGGGACGTGCCACTGCGCGGGCTGGCAGCGCCACCCAATGTTACATGGGCACGCCCACTCCATCGCTAGCCCCGCCCACAAAGTGAGAGTGGCCTCCAGGCTCTCTCTCTCTCTCTGACGTCGACACCAACGCATGCTCGTAGGGCCCCACTGATCTGCCAACTCTGCCCAATACCCAGTAAGCCCCACTCAAATATCGATGCTTCAAAACAATCTTGAGCAAAGCTTGAAGGAGTGAGGGGGAATGAGTGAGAGCAGGAGATGAGCGAAAGAGAGTGGGAGGTAGAGTAGAAGGGTGAGATGAGAGTGGAGAGTTGTAAAGGGAGGGAGGGAGTAAGATAGTGGGATGGAGTAGGAGAGAGTGGGAGTAGGAGGTGGAGAGCGAGAGTGGGGGGTGATGTGGGTGCAGTGGTGCAGCGGTTAGTGCGCTGCGCTACGAACCCCGTGACCCGAGTTCGATTTCTACTCACGGCCAGCACCGGTCATGATTATCTGAACTGGTGCTGGGCCTCCCCTAGGTCGACTCAGCTTCAACTGTGTACCCGGTGTGGTGTGTGAACATCGCCACGAGGGAGACAAAGGCAGCCGGGCATGGTGCTGGCCGACCCACCCCCTCGTGTGCTGCGACAGCCTTCATTAGGTGCTCGCTAACAGCACTTGCCCCAACAGTCTGTTAAGGCCACACGGGGGATCTTTGTCTTGTTGTGGGTGAGACTCACGCGTGCCGGCTGCACTGCGAGTCGATGCAGATGTGGACGCGCACGCAGTCTCGGCCTCGCAGGTGATCCTTCCTCCGCACATCCGAGCCGTCTGGCACACGCACACACACAGTCACCGCCATCGTCACCGCCATCGTCATCGGTACTAACAGCAGCATCATCACTGTCACCGTGTCTCCTTGTCCCCCGCTTCCCCGCGTCCCCGTGTCCCCCACGTCCCCGTGTCAGCCCGCACCGATGTGGATGTTGGCTGAGAACTGGTAGATGCCCGAGATTTGCGCCGTGTAGTGGCCCGAGTCCACGTCCATGCCTCTACCTCGCACGAACCCTCCCGCCGAGGGCAGCTGCAACGACACAAACCACAACAACAACCACGAGTCCACAGGTGAGTTTGCCGTGACAACAACCACGAGTCCACAGGTGAGTTTGCCGTGACAACAACCACGAGTCCACAGGTGAGTTTACCGTGACAACAACCACGAGTCCACAGGTGAGTTTGCCGTGACAACAACCACGAGTCCACAGGTGAGTTTACCGTGACAACAACCACGAGTCCACAGGTGAGTTTGCCGTGACAACAACCACGAGTCCACAGGTGAGTTTGCCGTGACGTTTTCGGTCGGGCCATGTATATCGCCGGCCAGATGTTGTCATGTAAACCAGCCAAACAATTTGACATCTTCGGTGAGTGCATGAATAAGCGAGTGAGCGAGCGAGCACGTGATTAAGCGAGCGAACGAGTCGGTGGTTATGTTGAATGGGATATTTGATGCATCTCAAAGTTTATTTCTTGAATCTGTGGCCCCGGGGAGCTGCGTGGGCCCCCCAAGTTTTTGCTTGGCATGCTTTGAGCTCTCGCCACCACCACCGTTCCCACAGCGCCACGAAAGCCCAGCAGCACGGCCGCACGGTCGCGTCGTGGCGATTCCCACGCTCCCACGGACCAGGCTACGGGCCAAACCAGCTGCAGGCCTCCAGCCTCGCTAGAACCTTTACGTTGCCTCTCCATCACCGCCGATTTCGACCACAACTGCAACCTGCGTGAGCACGAGCCACCAGAAATAAAGTAAGTGAAGTAAATAAACGGCAGTTTTGCCGAGAAGAAGCCCACACGCTCGGAACGCCAAGCGGCAAGCAGCGCTATCGAAGATGTAATGGACGAGAGAGGACACGTTTCTAGAATAGAGCGATAAGAGACGGCGATGATGGTGGTGGGAGGAGGGAGTTCCCAGGTGGAGCAGGGCAAGGGGAGAAGCGGAGAGAGCGGGAAGAGCGACGACCTGCGGTGCGAGGGAGAGAACGCTTCGTGGCCGCGGTGGAGGTGCGCTCAGTAGCCCCACGCGATTGCGCTGTGGGTAGGGACTCTGTTTGGCCACGGAAATGTGTGTAACCATGGTAAGTTTCTACACATGGCGTATTGTATACACAGTGTGTTCCATATATACACACCGTCGTACGTATACAAATTACGTATTGCAAGTATACACATTGTGACCTCGTTTATACACATTACATGCTGTATTTATGTAATGTCTATTTAAAATTTACATTATGCACGTTTAAATATTTTCACTTGTTTACACATCAGTGTAACATATTATGCTCTTTAAGCATCTGACATATGCACTGCATCGTATGTAAAATGTACGCAGTTCGTACACAACACAATACATCTGAAGGCTTTCGTCAATAACACCCATCCTTGCCAACATAACTTTCGGCTTAATATAAATCGCCCATCTCTCTACACTAATTGTAGTATTATATAAACAATTTGACATTATTTAACATTATTTTATTATAAAATGAAGCGCATGCTTTCAACACCACATTCCCCAAACTCATCGACTGCCCCTGGCATTTTGCACAAATGAAACACAGAGACACACAGATTATTCATACGCATCGCCGCCGCTTCCAGCTCACACGACCCTCCTCCTCCTCGTCCTAAGACACAAACCGGGAGATAAACATAGCATGCAGGAATGAATCATTAGCAAATGATTAATTCTTTAAATACGCTCATTCGCTTCCTCCCGATCGCGGCTGTCCAGTTGTCGCGTGGATGTTTATCACAAGTTCTGGTATTTTTATGAAACCAACGCCAACGGAAGCCATTCATTTCGAGTGGTGGCAATTCCACATTCCCATGGCGGAGCCCAGTCTTAATAAGACAAACACCCGGTGTTTACTTTTGGGACTTGTTTTCGTGAACATTACTAAACTATGCTTTCACACTCATACTTTTATTATATTGACAAAGAATCGTTCTGCCTCGTGTTGTTTTATTTATTTGTAGTTCATATTCCTGTCGTAAAAAATTCTGCACTAAACATTCAGGTCTCCCTTTGGTTTTTTCGGTAAAGTCACGTAGGTACCTACCAAAGAGTATGGACCCTTGCAGTCACGAAAACTTCTCAATGGGCTCTGGTTATAATGGCAATAACAACACAAACTACAAGAAGACTAAAACATCAATGATTGGGCTCATGACAAGGATGATTATCGTGGTGATGATGACGGTGGTGTTGCAAATAACAGCTGTGATGGTTCCGATGATGATGATGTGACGACGAAAGTAATGATTATCAAAAGCATGTTTTTGTTTGCATGTTCACCACAAGTAGTGTGGTTAATGCAAACAGGATTCCTTGCAAAAAGTTTCTGTTTGGTGTTTGAACATCTTAACACAACTGTTTTGTTGCCAGAAAGGGTAAAACCTCTTCTTATATTTTGATACTGGCAATAAAGGTCTCATCTTCTAGCAATGACGATGTTGATAACTATAGTGATGATGATAACGATAGCAATGACGATTTATTATTGGGTCTTTCGGTAAAGTCAGTTCAAAGAAAATAATAAAAAATAACAGAAATCTACGACGTTTCGATCGCAACGCAAGCAGTGCTCTTTCCGAAAGACCCAAGAATATGAATTCCTGCAGTCACGAAAGCTTTAAGTCAAGCAATGACGATGTTGATATCTCTAGTGATGATGATGTTGATATCTCTAGTGATGATGTTGATATCTTTAGGGATGACGATGTTGATATCTTTAGTGATGACGATGTTGATATCTCTAGTGATGATGATGTTGATATCTTTAGTGATGACGATGTTGATATCTTTAGTGATGATGATGTTGATATCTTTAGTGATGATGATGTTGATATCTCTAGTGATGATGTTGATATCTTTAGGGATGACGATGTTGATATCTTTAGTGATGATGATGTTGATATCTTTAGTGATGATGATGTTGATATCTCTAGTGATGATGTTGATATCTTTAGTGATGATGATGTTCATATCTTTAGGGATGACGATGTTGATATCTTTAGTGATGATGATGTTGATATCTTTAGTGATGATGATGTTGATATCTCTAGTGATGATGTTGATATCTTTAGGGATGATGATGTTGATATCTCTAGTGATGATGATGTTGATATCTCTAGTGATGATGATGTTGATATCTTTAGTGATGATGTTGATATCTTTAGTGATGATGACGATGTTTATATCTTTAGTGATGATGTTGATATCTCTAGTGATGATGTTGATATCTTTAGTGATGATGACGATGTTTATATCTTTAGTGATGATGTTGATATCTCTAGTGATGATGATGATATCTCTAGTGATGATGACGATGTTTATATCTTTAGTGATGATGATGTTGATATCTCTAGTGATGATGATGTTGATATCTCTAGTAATGATGATGGCTATGACGGGCATTGATCCTGGTCAGGAGTTGAACTCGAGTCGCCGACTAGGGCTCTCCACGGCTCTCCAGGGCTCTCCACAATTAATCCGCGCTGGCTTTAACGTGCAAGAAGACATTATTTATTTATTTCGTACAATACACATCGCATATATTTGAAATGACAACGTATTTACACAGAGAGTCGCACTTTATTTAATGCCCGCTTAAGCTGATCTCTGGTTATTGTCGGGGGGGAAAAAATAAATTACGTCAGCACCCGAAAGCTCCCCCACTGCTCCCCCAACAACAGCAGCAGCAGAGGCTCCCTCCCCGTGATCCCCTCTCCCCCCCCCAACATCCCCTCCCGGACCCCTCCGGCCCCCGCCCCCCCCCCCCACGACGCGCTGCCCGAGAGACTCGTCACAGGGGCCGCACCCTGAGATGCGCTCCGAGGCCCTGCAGGGCCCCGGCGTGAGCGGAGTTCGTTTCGCGAGCGGCGACGGAAATAGCAAGAGAACTGGATTCTCAGCAGCGAGTGGTGGCACGGGAGCGCGAAGGTGCGGTTTGTGCATGCAATGTGTATATAAGTGTCAATTGCTGAATTAATTTGAGCACGAAACATGCTTTGGTGCCAAATGTCTGTGCTGTGCGGCCAACGCAGCCCGGCTGATGTGCCACAGTTGTCGTTAGCATCGGCCATCGACCACTCGCGACTGGGTGAAGGCCTCGCCAAGATACCGAAATCCCTCTTACGGTCCCGTGCTGCGGATCGTCTGTCTCGCTGCAGCACGCGAACCGCTGTCATTTCTCACTCCATCTCCGTAGCGGCCGTGCTTCCGGGCATGCCCTCTGCTATGGCTGCCAATCCATCCAGCAGTCTCATCCATCGGCCGTCATGCCATCAAAGCAATGATGTGCCCTGACCGGAGCCCAATTACCTTCCTTAATCGTCAATGCAATCGATGGCTCTAACTTGCGTACGTTCTAAAGTCCACTGTCCCTGTTTCTCGCGGCAATTCCCAGCACGCGCCTCTCCGTGCTTCCTGGCGCACTCCATACGTTTACGACACGATTGAAGATGTAGCTGTTGGGCCACAACAGGAAAATGCACGCCAAGGGCTGCTTACGAAACTGCAAACTGGGATCAAAGTAAGGCACTATGTAAGAGCTGCACGGCTCTATTCGAAAACTAAATTGGATGATGGAAGGCAGCAAACATTCCCAGGTCCTCGTAGCACCAAAGAACACGCTCCTCGGCAAAACGTCGCGTTGCACCATTGTTTTCTGGCCCCTGCCATGGGAACGTGGAATGCCCAGCGATGGCTCAGGGTCGCCAACGCAGATACCCACCATTCCACTGATGTTTTTTTGTGAAGGCACACCAACTTTGGCTGTCCTCCGTACCGTCAGGGGCACTGCCGTTTTTGCAAACCCACGAACTGAGCCGCTGGGAAACGTCGCTCGCCCGCCGCTGGCTCGAGAATAGAGGCCCACGCACCGCCTCGTCGTGATTCAGACAAGCCCTCGGGCCGTCACATTTAATCCTGGCAGGAGATACGAACGCGGCGGCACTGGAAATGTAAATCCAACCGAAGCTCGCGAACACGACTGCGTTGCAGGCGAACGGCAGGCCGCAGAGCGACAACGCCACGGGCGGCCTTTGGCGGGATTATCCCGGAGTGTATCTGAGAAACGACTTTCCGTACTGGTCGTTGGTTTTTCCCCTCTCCGTTTCAAACGTCGCTCGAGCGGTCCCCAGGAGCCGAGCCGCGCGCGTCGCTCGCGAGCCCCGTTGAGCGGAGCGAGCGCTGCGCCCTCCGGACACCCGTGCGGCCTTTGATGGTAGAATTAAGCCGGGAGCTCATTACTCTGCTCGATAAAAAAATAAATATTCAGCTTGTCTGGGCAAGGAATGCAGAGTAAAAAAAATCGCAGGAGTAACAAAGTAAGCCCTGAATTAATCAAAGTGCGCGCGTGTGCGCTGTGAAAAGTACGCGTGTGGAGCGATGACCCAGTGGCTAGCACGCTGCACTGTGAACCTGCGCAGTTTTTAATCACTCGTTTCTTTAGAACTGATTTCTTTTAGTTTTTTGTCCTTCCCCCGCACCTCCGCTTAGCGCGGTTGGTTACGTGCGGTGCGAAAGAAGTTTAACATACGTGCAACCTGGTGACCTGAGTTTGACCGACACTGTGGGGCAGCCTCCATCCAGCAGTGGACTGACAAAGGCCTGTACATTACTATTATTAGTATTATATAGGATGTACCATGAATGTGCGTGTCTATGTAGGGTAATTATTGATCCCCATCTTACCGAGAAAGTTCATTTATCAGCGAATATCTCAAGCAAATCATAGGATTTCATTAGATCGGCACTGGCATTCCGTGTGGCAATCTCGGTGATTAATCAGCATTCATCATCGAGCAGGGTTCATAGGGAGCTGCTGTGCTTACACCACCGCACGTCATCTTAATATCGCGATCAACGTACGATCAAAAACAAAGGCGCCATTGTGTATTGGAGCGATACCATCGTTCGCCAATATTATGATGTTAAAAGAGTTACCCTTGATTGTGCAAAGTATGGAGCGCTAGGGGGTGGTTGGAGGGTGTGGGGTTGGGGTGTGTGGGGAGGGGGCGGCAGACCGGGGGGGGGGGGCTGGTGTTTGACGTTGCCCGCCGCCCCCCGTGGGCGGAGGGGAGCCGACAGGTCGCAACGAAAAACCGCCAGGACACCACTTTCATCCCCAGCGACGCGAAGAGCGCGATTACGGGATCAGCGGCGAGGAACAGTCGCGCGCGAGCAGCGCCGTAAGTCAGAGGCGTGCGCAGTGTCCCCCCCTCCCGCTGCCCCCCCCCCCCGTGCCAAGCCACCCTATAGATAGTCGCGACACGACACCCGCAGCCCCCTCGTCGCCCCGCTGCCGGATGGAGGCCCATTGCACTCCCTTGAGGTGGGCTGGTGAATGGTGGGCAGCGTGGGCACGGAGACTCAGCTGCCCTGCCCTCCGCTGCCCTCCGCTGCCCTCCGCTGCCCCACCGCGTAGCCCCAGTGGCCTATAACAACCTGCTGTGCGTGGTGGTCACGCATCCCGAGCGCTGCGATCTGACGAGATAGGGCGCATTCCACGTGATTAAGTCGTAGGTTTACAACGTATACTTGTGCCCAGCATGTACACACGCAGGCTTCCCACACTCTGTGTGGTGGTAGTAGATGTGTTCTAACAAAAGGGCACACAAAGCGAAACCGTGCCACAAGACAGCTGCCTGTCGAGTAGCGGGCACAGTACGCACAGACTACTCACACAGAGTACGCACAGAGTACTCACACACAGTACGCACAGAGTACTCGGACACAGACTACTCGCACACAGTAAGCACAGAGTACTCACACACAGAGTACTCGCACACAGTACACACAGAGTACTCACACACAGTACACACAGAGTACTCATACACAGTACGCACAGAGTACTCACACACAGTACGCACAGAGTACTCACACACAGTACGCACAGAGTACTCACACACAGTACGCACAGAGTACTCGCAATGTCCCACGCCCAACCGCAGAGCCGCATGCAGAGTGAATTCATACCGCATTGAGCCAAAGGTTGGCCACATATACGCAAAATCGCACAAACCGAGCACGCGTAGAGCGAGGGCAACCTGTATTCCGTATCGCTCCCCTGGTTAGAGCGAATGTAGCACAGCACAGGTACAGCTCTGAGTACGAGTGCATTAAGCCCCGCTCGCGCCGTGGTGGCAGGGGAGTGGGCAGGCCCTGCGAGCGGCAGGTGCGGGGTCAACGTCGTTAGGGTCGAGGTAGGCCGCTGTAGGTGTGGCTACGTGAATGTGGGCGGTTGAGCCTCCCAAGAAACTCGGTAGTTTTATCAACCCGGCCCGGCACGCCGCGAGGGGCGCGAGATCCGTGTGGAGAGCGAGAGTCGGCGCTCACCGCGAGGAAGCCCCTGAGCTCGGCGGAGGAGCGTCGCTCCACCGTGGCGTTGCTCCCCAGCTTGCAGTGGAACGCCTCCTCGAGCGCCCGCGGGAGATCGGGCAGCAGCACGGCCGCCTGCGTGGCCGGGGCCAGCCGCCACTGCTCGGGTCCTCGCTGCTCCCCGGGGAGGGCGGCCCGCGGCTGCAGGAGCAGCGCCGCCGCACGGCGCTCCGCTGCGTCTGCTCCAGAGACGATGGAGACGCGGCAACGGACGAGGCGGAGAATAAACGACGCGTTACAGGATCGGCGCTTTGCTTCCGCGCGCGAGTCGTCGTGGTGGTCGTCGTCGTCGGTCAGGAGCTATCAACGGCTACATCTGCTGGCTGCCACTCTTGCCAGATTGCGGTGGCCTCGTTTAGCGACGTGTCCTGTGCTCAAGCCGCTCAGTTTTTATTGACGGCCGACGATGTCTTTAGCTTTCGTTTGATCTCAAATCCACGTTTTCACGTCACTGTCAGTCTAATTCCACCCGTGCGCCTCTCTGTGCTGCTCTGCGCACTCTCCAAGTTTGCTTCATAACTTAAGAGATTCGTTGCGGGAACAGAACAGGAGGACACAATCCAGCATGTGGGCCCAGACAGCGGGGAAACGTTACTTTTTATTTTGTTGAACAAGAGAGCACGAGACGACGATGATTCTCGCTTGCGAGAGTATTTTGCGGTGTCATTTTTCGAACTTGGCAAAATTAGACCCCCAACGCCAGCACACAATGGGCTGCTCTTGCGAATGACGTCGCACGATGTTGGAAATCCACTGAGTGAAGCGGACGATGTGCAGCATGCGCACGGTGAACATCACAACGGCGGTGTCAATCGGGGCGGACGCCAGATTGGGATTGCGAGCATCTGCAGTGAGCGGAGGCCACTGCACCGCCACTGGGCCACCGCTGAAGCCTCGCCGCCCACAGCAACGCAGCGATGTGCCAAGAGAAGAGAGTGTCTTAATCGGTGCCTACTATCTGCTATAATCACAATTAGATTAATATACCGCTTTTCATCAAGGATCTCAAAGCACTGTACAGGATACAGCAGCAGCAGCAGACACTCAGCATAAAACTAATTATATAAATTCATTTTCAGAACCCATTTAGTAAATGAACTGAAGGTTTAATAAGTGGAAGCGTATAAATAGGTTTCATTAAAACATGTCCACAGACTCAGAGATGCTGGTTTCACATGGAAGAGTGTTCGACAGGCTGTTATGATCGAGATGGATTAGAAAACACACGGTGATTGACGAGGGGAATGGAACGTTTCGTAAACAACAATAATCATTATAAATTATAATTTGGATGTATATAGCTTCAGAAATAAATGATATATAAAAATTTTATTTTATTTTTTTATTTTACCAGGTGAGGCCCACTGAGCTATGTAGCTCTTTTTCAGAAGCGGCCTGGCCACAAATGAGAGCTTAACGAGATGTGGTGTATCACGTGGACATGTATAGCAGCTAAATACTCTAAGACTCATGTTGATTCTAAATGTGGAGGGAAAAACTGGCGGACCCGGAGAAAAATCCACGCCACCACGGGGAGAACATACAAACTTCAAATATACAGGCATTAGGGTCTGGATCAAACATACGACCTCCTGTATACCAGGCGAGGTAGTTAACATCTCCTAGCCACCGTGGTGCCCGCAATACAAGAGGACCTCCAGATGTTGTACAAGGCGAGCGTGTAAACCATTTCCACAAATAGTGCAAACAAATAAACACAACTATATAAAAGTAAATAAATAACCCAAATGGAAACGTGAGTAAAATGTAAAAATACCCATTTAAAAGCACCGTTAAATTGCACCGTGATGGTGTTTGTTCGGCACAGTACTCTGTGTACACCTTTACTTTCTCGCTGAATTAAAATGCAATTTATTTCACCGTCTCGGTTACTCCGTTTTATATTAACTTGTTATTGTTCCCCGTTTTGTAACTACACAGATTACAGTTTCCCGATTGTTGTGTCGGCCATGGGGGGGGGGGGGGGGTGTTTAACCATACTTCACCACACTCGTCAGCGCAGGGCTGTTCCGGATATCGCTCGCTACCGATGTGGCAGACATGGCCTACCTTTCACCATATCCTTGAACTCCTTTATCAGAGCGTCCTTTGTGATTCTGGCTCCTGGGGGGCCAGGAGGTCCTGGGGGGCCCGGAGGTCCAGGGGGGCCGGGGGGCCCCGGCTGTAGGAAGACGCGCGCGCAAACATAAGGACGCGTGTTTACACTCGTCCACGCACACGGACACAGCAACAACAACAACGGCAACAAACGCCGTGGCCCACGAAGTGGCGGTGACCTTACCACGGCATTTTTGCCAGGCTAGGTGCACTTTGAGGTCACGTGGAGTGTCAAAATGCTCGCTGGCAGGAGGTCGCACATGCACAACACGACTCAAATGTACGCAAGTCCACAACGCATATGTACAATTACACGTGATGCACCACCAACACACAAAGGCACACATGCCTACTGCTGCCGTTTGCGGCACACAGACCACTCGACGAGCTTCAAACTAAGGTTCTTGGGGATATGTGAAGAACCGATCAGCATTTCACGAAGAAGTGCATTATGGTGCTCTTCCTGGAAATGCTGGTGGGTTTTTGTTCACAATTAAAGTTTCTGTGTTGTTGTTGTTGTTGGAAACTTGTGGATTTCGGGGTGGGCCTGTGCCATATATTCCGTTCGGACAGTTTTTTTTTCGACATTTACAGGTTCGACAACAAACGACAACGCGACGTTTTCACAAAGTACTCCCTTGAAACGCGAGTCTCTCGCGGGAGGGGACAGGCACAGAGACGCTCCTCCGGGCTACGCGCTGCCACCTCGCCAGAAACGAGGGCCGTTCCTAATCAGGTTCTCATCTCGCTGCCGTGCGAATTATTGTCGAGTGAGTGATCGTAAACAGATGGCTCCCGGGAGGATGAGAGTACATGCGTTGCTAAATCACGAACGCCACCACTCGGTGAATCTCCCCGACGATAAACGTCCGTTTAGCGCTTCCATAAAGGATCGGTCGATGGAGGAATGGAGCAGCTGCTATACACGGCTTCCACAATCGCCAGCTGTTGGCTCAATACACTGGACAGAGATCTAAATAGTTTTTAATACTTTTTACATTCAGCCATACTTAAGATGCAGGATTTAAATGATAAACAATGTTAAGTTTAAGTCCATCAGCCTCTCGGCTTTCACAGCGAGTACTAGCCAGCAGCATTTTCTCAAACGAGCGAACTTGGGACCTCTTTCCACTGAGTGCGATTCTACTCAAAACATACATTTTTGGGCGGTCCAAGTCCAACCTACAGGATGGCTTTTTGAATGTTTGTAGTTTTGAGGAAAGACGTGAGCATATTAGTGCCAAATTCCTAGCCCTTCTGTCACAATTGTTGATGTGTATTAAATATATCACATCCACTTTACGTCATTCGGACTACAATGAAAACAGCCGCGATTTCCTCGACACAAATTACGTCACCTTTTTCAATTTTCTCAACTTACCTGCCAACTTTAGTTTGACGCCCCAGCAATGTGAAGTTAAATCCTGCCCCGTACGCAAACACGTTCTTAAAACAATAAATAGGCCAAACATCTCAACGCAGGACCCTCTTGAAATGGAGTGTTTAAACACACTACTTTACCGGCTTATCAGTATTATGTTTGTGGCTTAGCGAACATCTGGAGACCAGGACTTGCACAGTGTTCCGTTGGGAATCAGCAGTGACATCATCAGGTCAAAAAGCAGAGAGCCACCCTGTTCCTGTCCCACCCTTCTCAAGTCAAGACTCACACCATTCGCCTTGCAATGTATCATCCGACAAGTTTGTTATTTTAGTTGAGAGCCAAATCATTACACAGTTATAAATCCACCGAGCCAGAATTGCCGAGATCCTGGATTTAAATCTGGGCTTCAGCCCGCTGTGATTCAACCGGCTTCTCAAGTTTATTGCTTTGACGGTCTCAGGCCGCTCACCAACGACTGCACAAATTAAACGCATCGTTTTAAATGTGCCTCTTCCGTTAACTTGGCAAAAGTTCAGCTCTGAGAATTAAACAAAGATATTGGGATGACTGCCGATGCGAGAAAAAAAATTTCTGCAGCAGGACATGTGGGAGATGCCTCGGAAGGGACCTTCAGAAGCACTTCTGCGATGTCTGCTTCTGCGGGCCATTCTCCTACACGCAGAGTCGGTGTGCCACAGTTAACTGCAACATTTCCACACTCGGGGCGGGGGCGGGGGGCTCACCAGCAGGCGACTGCGCCTCTTGTCATCTTTCTTGCGCTCCTTGTTGGCGCCCTCGTGCGAGTGCTGGATGAACGAGATCCACGTCCCGTGCGGATCGATTCGCACGTTCTCTCGCGAGTCCGACACCTTGGGGCGGGGGGAGTGGGACGGGGTGCAAGATAGCACAGTCACACAATGCTGAGTTTGTGGGTCTCTCTGCAAAGTCCACAGGTTTCCGTGCAATTCTGCAGAATACATTACGTTGTGGATTTGTGCAGCGACTAAATACGGCCACTTATCACGGCGACGTATAGGAATATTTATTTTATAAAGAGGTGCTCAGTCACAGGCTGAGAAGAGGAGGAAGTGTCTTGAGCCTGGACTTCAACAGCACGGCAAGGGAGTTCCAGGCAATGACGGCAGCAGAGAAGAGGGAGCGACCCTCCCCACTGAGCTAAGGTTGACATGCGCTTGGGTTTGCTCCCAAAAGCCCAGCACTAATTCATGGAAAAATATCCCAATCACAAAGGCCCTCTTAACAAACGCCATGAGCTTCGGCGAGGCTTTCCTGGGGTATAACGAGCATTGTGATGATTTAAATAATGCCCGTGTGGTCACATGGCCAATGCCACTGCTGCTGCCACCACCACCACACCTCGCCGTCACTTCCTCCTGAAAGACCTTGCGACAAATGTTGCAGGACCACTCTCAAGAGTCTCGTCAAAACCACATCTGGCTCGAGGTCTTCGTGGTGGTCACCAGCCCGTGTGGTGACCACCAGAACGAAAACGATTAGCGGCACACCGCACCTCGTTGGATTTCCACCTCCGGGCGAGGCAGCTGAAATAACAACGCGAGCTTCTTGAATCGCCTCCCCACCGCCTGTGTCCACCCAGCGGTAGGAACGGCGACCACCAAAGACGGTCGACCAAAGTTAGTCGACCGGCGGGGCCCCGTGCGGTCGAGATAACGCGTGGGTTCCAAATACCGTCTCTGCGAGGGCCTCTCTCGGCTGGAGGCCGTTCCGCCAGCAGTGGCACGCACAAGCAATTGCAGGGCTGCACCTTTACCTCGTCTAAAACGAAGCCTAGAGCAATCCACACAATTATTGATATGTTTTATTTTGATTCCCCTACTTAAACACTTGCTGCCGTTCCTTCACCAGTCTCGACCACCGGCCATCATCCCTCATGACCATTTATGAATAAACATTGTTTAATGGAGTTGGCCAAACATTCCAATATAGGATCGCAGAGCTTGGCCAATTATTGGCGTCGGTTTTGGCTGCCTTCCCGCCTGTCTGTGGTTCCCCATCCCTACGAGTCATTGTCACATCGAGTGAACGAAAACTGTGCAAATTATGACATTGAAGATATTGTAAACTATTGTTAATGTGCTGCACATGAGCAGACGTTCAGGTCAATGTTTAATCATCCCCTCCACGAGGGACGGGGGCTGCCAGCGCCGCTACCCAGAATTCTCGGCGTCTCTCACGGCCGCGTTGCGTCGATCGGACCCCAAGGCCGCCAAGGAGTCGGCAGTCATCGCGTCGCGAGGCCAATGTGGCGGCGAGCGGGCGGCTAAAACAACGGGCGCACCGAACGGCTCAATCGAGCGACCACACTCTCAGGCTTGACGGCGCGCACAGTAAAACACGACGGCCGCGTCATCGCGCCGGCACCGGCCGCTTACATTGCCAGTTTTTGTTAAGTTGTGTGCTTTTTGGCGGCGGGCTAGATGGACACTTAAGGGGGGCGGGGGGGGAGGCCAATGAAAGCATTGGCCCTGGGGGAGCGAGCGAGCCGGCGAGCGAGATGGTGCGGAAACCAGCGCCAAGTTTTTTTTTGTGTTTTTCCTCTCCAGCGAATCGATTTTCGTGGCTCTGCCGATCACATCGTGCCGTGGGCGCATTCAGAATGCTCGTTTATCCTTTTATGAAAGTCTGTGGGTTACCTGCTTGCCGTCCAACGCGGTGACGGGGGGACGGACGAGAATGATTTAGACCGACTTCTGCAGTAGGAGGGAGACGGACAGTTAGGTAATGATTTATTTAACCAGTGGAAGGAATCCACGGGCACAAGATGAGTAGGTTTTGAGCGGTTATCTCTTCGGGCAGGAGACCAAGAAACTGGAATTCAAACGTGAGATGCGTACAAAGTGTCATCCAGCGACACGACCACCGAGGCCACGCGATCACCACCATGGCTCCCGTTTCCATGAGCTTCATCACACCCTGTTGCTTCGGTCTCCCCGACGGAGCTGCACGAGTTCTCTAATCCACGCGTCGCTCTTCGTGTCTCTCGATGCCATTCCCGGCAAAGATCTCCGCGCGCTTCTTTGCGCACTCTCCAGCTTTTGTTTCGTCCTCTTCATCGGTGTTCACGCTTCTCCCATCCCTCCTCCCCACCGTGGGCAGCGGACGGCGCGGGCGCGGCACGCCGCATCTCCGCGGGCCGCGTCCCCGTCGCGACCGGCGTGGCGCTCCCGCTGGCCCGCGACTAGCGGCCGCCCTGGCGCCCGGCACGAGCCGCGTGTGCGGTTACGTGACGGGCGCAGGTTAAGACTCCGTTTCGGGCCTTCCAGCCCCACACTCCTCGCACCGCTGTGCGGAATCGCCTCTGCCAAGTACGTGAAATAACACACGGTGGGAATTCTAAATTTTTTCATTATTTCACCGGGTTCCTTTAATTTATCGTTTCACTCCCGGAGCCTTATTTGGCCGATCGGCCAGACGGGGCCGGCGATCGCGGTTACGCAAGAACGCGCCGAGCTCCGTTACCGCGACAGAAATAAGTAAAGGCGCCGATGCCGGGCCCCCTTAGAACCGCCGTGGTCACAAATAAATATTAGATCGAATTTACGGTGTCGGCGGGGAGAGCCAAATGCCAACAATAACTCTAGCCGAGAGCGGCTGGGAGTAGCCGGCTCTCTTACATGCGCCTTGCACACACGGACCCACCCGCACACACCCACCCACCCGCACGTACGCACGCACACACGCACGCACACACACGTGGGTGCCCCATAAATGGGTTCTGGCACCTGCCTACCTGTGCGAGAGCCTTTCCGTTCGGGCTCGCGGGATGAAGCCGTGCAGTGTTGTGAGCGCCGCTCACGCACGGACGGCAGAGCGGCGGCGCTGTGCACGGTGTCGCGGGGCCCGTGAGCTTAGGTTCAGCCTAACGGGCCCCCGAGCGGCAGTCAAAAGCGCTGCTCGCCGCGTCCGTCTGCGAGCGCGATGGGTAGATGTTTCCCAGGCCGTGGTGGCACCCTCTCCAGGGCAGAGAGCCGGAGGCCAGGACTCGGTTGTGCGAGCGACTCGGGTTTGACCGCGTGTGCGTAGCGGCCAATGGGCGTAGCCCGAGAGCGCGTCCATCACGGAGATGGAGCCGTGGAAATCGTCTCACGTCCAGGAACTACGCGAATGGCTGCGTCGTGGCACCACGACAGATGGTGATCGGCTCGGGGAGGCCTTAATCTAGCAGTGGATAAGTCGCGGCCAACGGTGATGATTGGTTTCATTGTTCACGCGATAGAGATGTACGACCGTGCGGGACTGAAACAGCAGCACAGGTTTGTTATAAATGGCTCGACTTCAGATGGCGAGTGGTGGGGAAAAGCGTGGGTGGGTACCCCCACCTCTTACAAGCCATCTGACCACGATGGAAGAGCAGGCCAACATATCCTCTCTCGAGTGGAGGCACTTCTGCCAGCAGTGGTGCGAGCTGGAAATTGCAGGGATGCGCCTTTATCTTTTTACATTTTACTACAAACTGGGGGTTCTGTACTGGAAATCAATGTTCCCGCGTGTCACCATAGCTCTTTTAACGCTCCTTAACGATTAGCTTTACACAAAAATACAAAGGTCCCCCGTATAGCCTGAACAGACTGTTGGGGCAAGTTCTGTTAGCGAGTAGCACCTATGAAGCCTCACGAGGGGGTGGATGGGTGGGTGGCCAACATTACGCACGCCCAGCCACCTTTGTTTCCCCAGTGGTGATGTTTGCACATCGCACCAGGTACTCATTTGAGGCCGAGTCGATCTAGGGGAGACCCAGGATCGGTTCAGATAATTATCAGTGGTGTTGGCCGTGGGCAGGAATCAAACTCTTAGTGCGGCACGCTAACCGCTCCCGAATTCCCCTGAACAACGCAGCACACACGCAGACACCACCGAATACACCACCAAATACACCACCAAATACACCACCGAATACACCACCAAATACACCACCAAATACACCACTCAGTAGTCCTGCATTCAACAAGCACACGTCGCTGAACACGCGCGCGTGTGCGTGCGTGCGCGCACGTACGGACAACTACATACACCGCATACCAGCAGACCGGCATAATTGGCATACAAACGAGCAATGCAAGCCCATGTATAGAGATTGTCTGGGGTCCATTAAATGCTGCCTGGCAGCACTAATTGCGTGTGCGTCTGATAAACACCGCCGCCACCGTGTCTACACGAGCAGACACGTTCGCCGTTGGAGCTCAGGGTAGGCCACCACCTCCACCAACAACCTCCACCACCACCTCCACCACCACCACCACCTCCACCACCACCGCTGCCGCAACCCCCACCGGCACCAAGGCAACTTTCACCACCGCCGCCGCCACTGAAACCTCCACAGCCACGACCGCTATGGCCAGTGAGAGGTCAGTGAGAGGTCAGTGACAGGTCAGTGAGAGGTCAGCACTCCAATTCACAGCTGTCGCTCTCCAGTGGCCAGTCACCTCCTCACCACTCCATCGCTCGTCACAACAACACACTCACCCACTCACCACTCCATCGCTCGTCACAACAACACACTCACCCACTCACCACACTGCAGCTCACAACAACACACTCACCCACTCACCACACTGCAGGTCACAACAACACACTCACCCACTCACCACACTGCAGGTCACATCAACACACTCACCCACTCACCACACTGCAGGTCACATCAACACACTCACCCACTCACCACACTGCAGGTCACATCAACACTCACCCACTCACCACACTGCAGGTCACATCAACACACTCACCCACTCACCACACTGCAGGTCACATCAACACACTCACCCACTCACCACACTGCAGGTCACATCAACACACTCACCCACTCACCATACTGCAGGTCACAACAACACTCACCACACTGCAGGTCACAACAACACTCACCCACTCACCACACTGCAGGTCACATCAACACACTCACCCACTCACCACACTGCAGGTCACATCAACACTCACCCACTCACCACATTACAGGTCACATCAACACTTACCCACTCACCACACTGCAGGTCACAACAACACACTCACCACACTGCAGGTCACAACAACACACTCACCCACTCACCACACTGCAGGTCACATCAACACACTCACCCACTCACCACACTGCAGGTCACAACAACACACACCCACTCACCACACTGCAGGTCACAACAACACTCACCCACTCAACAAACTGCAGGTCACATCAACACACTCACCCACTCACCACACTGCAGGTCACAACAACACACTCACCCACTCACCACACTGCAGGTCACAACAACACACTCACCCACTCACCACACTGCAGGTCACAACAACACACTCACCCACTCACCACACTGCAGGTCACAACAACACACTCACCCACTCACCACACTGCAGGTCACATCAACACACTCACCCACTCACCACACTGCAGGTCACAACAACACACTCACCCACTCACCACACTGCAGGTCACATCAACACACTCACCCACTCACCACACTGCAGGTCACAACAACACACTCACCCACTCACCACACTGCAGGTCACAACAACACACTCACCCACTCACCACACTGCAGGTCACAACAACACACTCACCCACTCACCATACTGCAGGTCACATCAACACACTCACCCACTCACCACACTGCAGGTCACATCAACACACTCACCCACTCACCACACTGCAGGTCACAACAACACTCTCACCCACTCACCACACTGCAGGTCACATCAACACACTCACCCACTCACCACACTGCAGGTCACAACAACACACTCACCCACTCACCACACTGCAGGTCACAACAACACTCACCCACTCACCACACTGCAGGTCACATCAACACACTCACCCACTCACCACACTCCAGGTCACAACAACACACTCACCCACTCACCACACTGCAGGTCACAACAACACACTCACCCACTCACCACACTGCAGGTCACATCAACACACTCACCCACTCACCACACTGCAGGTCACATCAACAACACTCACCCACTCACCACACTGCAGGTCACAACAACACACTCACCCACTCACCACACTGAAGGTCACATCAACACACTCACCCACTCACCACACTGCAGGTCACATCAACACACTCACCCACTCACCACACTGCTCCACTTTGGGATTCTCTCCCATCATCGTTATCTCTTTACCCCAGCTCTTACAAGAACCTTGCCCAATTCAACAAACGTGTAAAAGCTTTCCTACTACATCTTAAATCGTGCCGTTTGTTGCTGGCCGTTGGACACTGTGGGCCAGTCCCCAGCAACCGTGATAACAATCCACTTCCACTCCGACAGTGATCCACCAACCCCCCCCCCCCCCCTCCCGAACTCGATTCCCAGCCAGGGGCCGCCAGACAGCAACACGGGTCGCGAGTGCAACCTGCGGCCACCTCGGGCCCCCCACTTCACCCAACCGACCGCGAGTGACAGCGGTTTTGTGTTTGTGACATCGCCCCTCCTAGACGCCGGGGCGTCTTGGAGGGCCTCGATCATGTTGCTGCTGCGAGACATTTCCACGTGATAAGCCACTTTGTTGAGCTATCATTTGGGGCCATGTCGCTTCTGAAAAAGAGCTACAAATAAGTTGATACCCCAGTGGGAATAACCTGGTAGGATTGTGATGGTTTGGTTTAATTTGTTTGTGTTTGGGTGATTGGTGTCTTGTACTTGCTGAGCTTCCGAGAGCTTGACACGACCGGGCACATTCGGGGCGAGTTGGTCACAGGCCGCGAGACCGCCGCGGCACTTGGGAGCGGAATGTTTGAGAAACAAAAAAAGAGAAAACCAAACTGGAACTCGCGTTGGAAATGTTCTGATCAGCGCTACCTGGCGACGCATCTGCCCGGTGCCATTCATGAGCCGATGGTCATTCCTCTGAATGTCAAGTGTTACTTTCTTTCTCATTTTTTTCTTATCTCGCTAATTCGGCCTCAAAGTATGCAGGCCGATCCCTGCATAGGGTCACCGATGTCAGTCTAAGACGCACGGTGCACACAAACAAACCCCATCGACTCTCGTCTCCGTTCACGCGAGCTCTTGTAACAACCACGCTCAACTTAAGGCACGTGTCAACTTTCAGCCCTTACAACGTTCATTGTGCTGCTTGCTGCTGGCCGCGTTGTGTTTTGGGCTTTTTGGGGCCTCTGCTGTGATCGACAGAAATAAATAAGTACACGCTCTGACCGAAGCAACCTCAATGGGCCTGGACCTCGCCAGATCTTGAAAGCTGAGTCGGCTTGAACGAGGATAGGGACTGGATGGGAGGCTGCCTGGAAATACAAGGTGCTCAACGCTCTTCAATTGGTTGAAAACATCTCAATATATTGAGGAGCACAGAGCTTGGGCAATTGTTGGCATCGGCTCACCGCGTGGCTGCTGCTGCCTTGCCCATTCGTCTGCGGTTCCTCCTCGAGCCTCCGAGTCGTCCTCTCTCTCTCGCTCTTGGAGAGCGAGGAGTGGACGCGGTGCGGCGGCGGTGGTGCAGCGTTTCGAGTTGATAATTATTATTATTAACATATTTGATCAAGGACGCAGTCTACGTTTCCATCTTTCACCGTCGCTCTCAGCCTCAGGAATTCACCTCTGATCTGACCATGCTGCTGCTCTCTCTCGATATGGCGTTGAGCGGGCTTCATTTCTCATGCGATATTCTCTTCCCAGGTCACCGGTCGTGTCGCCGTGGTGCCCAGAGGTATACTGGACGTGGTGTGCCGAGTGCATACAGATTCTCTGCCCGACGTTCACGAATGCCGCCGGTGACTAAACCACCCATCGGACCCCAGAAGCCAAGCAGGTTTAAGCCTGGATAGTGCATAGACGGGGGACCACCACGCATCAGCAAAACAATCAAGAGTTTGCTGCGGAACACTTCGCGTGATGCAGAGGGCAGTTCAGCCAAATGCAATGTTGTGCTGTACTTCTGTGCTGCCCGCCTTCACATAACCCGCGCCGACCAGCGTGGTCACGTGTAGACGGCAGGACATCAGAGTACCCAGAGAAAACTCAGCAGCGTACCCAAGGGGAGCGTCGCACAGATGGATTCAAGAATATCTAGTGCTGTACTGTCATCTCCTGACCACCTTGCAGCCTGCTGGTGCTACGCACCTGGACTTTAACGTTTTCCTAATTAGAACACTTTAACATTTCTGGGTTTTGACTCAATTTCCACTCATCAGTGAACTGGAGCCAATTGTCGGCTAACCGATGGCTCCAACTCACAGCATCACGGCTGGGGGGGGGGCGGCAATTTCTTAAAGAGCAAAACAGCCGCACACATTCTCCCGTCTGGGAGACACAAGACGCCAGGGTGTTGTTTATAGTTTAACTTAACCCGTTGTCTTTATTGCCCAAAGCCCCCCCCCCCCCCTCTCTGTATACGCGACGAGTATTAAGAAACGCGGCAGAACGCTCCCATGGAAGAGAAACGAGTCACAGACAACAAGGCAGGACCCTCTTGAACAAAGAGGCCTTGAATAGTCGACGAGCCTTCCCAGAAATAAACGAAAGGGAACGCATTGTTCCGACTCGCCACTTTGTGGGAGTTTAACAAGTTGCCCGAAGCCTACGGACTATGCCCCTGCCATAACAAGGTGGAATTTCCGCACACGGATATGACGATCTCGGCTTACGATCACGTCATCCTTCAATGCTGCCGGTCTCATCGAATCTCGGAAGCTAAGCGGGGCTGAGACTGCTTTCGTGCAGGACTTGGATATGCGATGTGATGGCATTGATGTCACGCGGTTGTGTTTGCTTCGTTCCGATTTCGATTTGCCGCTTCGTGTGTACGTACCGTATGGCGAACTTCTTTCGCACAATACGTAGCCATCCGTGCTAATCGGAGGTGCTTCATTACTGCACTCGACTTTTATTTTTAATTATTTTGGTGACAGCCCAGTGCCACTTGCAACTGAAACCTTTCCTGGTCGATTGAGTTCTCAACACCCCGTTCACACAAACTTGCAACTTGATATGCGGTGTCGTAAACTTGGGTGGGAGGTGGCCACGAGATGATGGTAAAAGAGTGGATTCTTGAATCTATCTGTGCGGAGCTTTAACTGCGACACCCCCCAATATGTGTCTTACGGGTCCTCCAGTTTCCCCGCACAAGAGACGAACCAATGGGCACACATCCCTGCGTAGCAGGACCCTCCTCGAAATTAGTCTTGAGACTCAGGCTCTCGAGGTTAAAAGGGCATCTGGGTTATATTAGCAGCACTGCTGTTCTACTCTTGATGGTGCCGAGAGGTCTGGATGGACTTGCCCTCGCCATAGAAATGAGGACTGCTTCACCAATGGACTTAGGTGCCCCCAGCGGACACGAAGAGCAGGCGGAATGAAGACAATCGTCTGTGACGTGGAAAATATTTCATTGTCCGGCACACCACATCATGTCCACCTCTCGCTATATACACATGCCCACTCCCGTTTGCAAACGACATCGACAATATTCATTGTAAATGTAACCCCGGACTATGACTGTAACGTGTGATTCTGGACAGTGGAAATATCCTTCACGAGTTAGCCACCAAGCGACCTCTGATGCAGCAGCAGCAGCGGAGCAGAAGCATCATCATCAACATCGTCCGAGTCATTAGACGGACAATGTTTGTGCAACGTGTCATTGTGGCAACCGAGATCCGTGCTGACGAGATGTCCCGTGATCTTAAGGGATTATATCTGTGGGGAAAAATATTGTAATGGCCAAAAGAATCGTCAGCCTCACCTCCTCGCTGTTGGGTCCCGTCACGTTCAGGGCCTCGGTGTGCTGCTGGTTCACATCCTCGGAGGTCCTGAAGCCTCTATCGCCTCCTCCTCCTGCTGCTGCTGATGCTGCTGCAGGCCTTAACCCCCCGTTCCTCCGTCCCCCCGCGCCTCCACCGCCACCACCACCGCCACGCCTCGCCTCCACCACCACCAGCGTCGTCTCTCCCAGCAGTAGCAGCGCCACCAACATTACCAGGGGCAGTAGCAGCTCGAGTCGCGACCACATCGCCATCACGACCAACACCACGCAGCCCTCTCTCGCTCTTCAGAGCGCTCCAGCGGCGATGGGGACTGCAACTCTGCCGACTCCGCAGATGATCGTGGTGGGATGATGATGATGGTGGTGGTGCCGTGATTATGATTGTAATGGCTATGATGGCGATGATGGTTAATTTGACGGTGGAGGTTCAGGCTGCGCTCAACGTGTCCTCGTGAGCTCCACGCGTGTGACTCCTGACATGGCTTCTCAACAACGTGCTGGTCGCTCCCAGGAGAATGATTTTAATGTAGACAAATTGTAGAACAAAACTAAAACCAACACGAAATGAAAACAAATCTGAAAGCGCTTTCAGTTTCACGCGAGCTGCATTTGGGATATCAACAACGACACGGTGACGACGGAGTTGGACTGGATCCGACGGTACGTGCTGACGGCCTTGACAAGTTACGGATGGCGATGATGATGCTGTCGATGAAACTGAATATCAGCAGTCAATGGCTCTCAGTTCCGCTCGGCGTTAATGACTTGAGGAGAGAGATGGAGAGAGAGAGAGCCCTCGTACGCGCTCAACCCGCCGAGCTGAGACGGCACGGTTCTACTCCACAATGCTCCTCTGTGCGCGAGACGCGCAGCGCTCTCCCCAGGGTTCACGAGGTTCAGATGTCGCAGATATCTCTTCAGATGTCCCAGAAATCTCTTCAGATGTCGCAGATATCTCTTCAGATGTCCCAGAAATCTCTTCCTCCGCGCGTCGAGGCCCTTGCCGTCGTCAGCGTCGCTTTGGAAAGCACTCGCCGCTCATCAGGACCAGGACGAATGCAACAACATCTATGAGAATGGATGAACAAACCGGTCACGAAGAGCGAGACAATTTCAATACAATCCCAACGTGGCTCTGTTCGTCACGCTAATCTTGCATCTCTCTGCCTCTTTCTCTCTCTCGTTCGTTCCCCGCGAGACGGCTGCTGCACCGATCCTGCTTGTTGCGTGGAGCCCACGGGGCGCAGACTGATGTGCGATGGGTGCGCTGCTCACTGGACATGCGGCGGTCGTGGTGTCGGCGCTGATGAGTCTGCCGCTGCGCTCTCGCTGATCGCTTTAAGTCGGCGCACTCCGAGGGGGGTGGCTCCCCTCCCCCCTCCCCCCTCACCCACGGAGGCGGGACTCGCCGTGGGAGGAGTCCCACCACCAACTTACCAATTCATCACCAGCCATGGTCAATCCACTGCTGGATGAAGGCCTCCCCAAAGCTGCCTGCATCTCCCGCGATCTCGCGCTGTCGTAGTAGCAGCAGCAGTAGCAGCAGTAGTAGCAGTAGTAGCAGCAGTAGTAGCAGCAGCAGCAGTAATAGTAGTAGTAGTAGCAGCAGTAGTAGTAGCAGCAGTAGTAGCAGCAGCAGTAATAGTAGTAGCAGCAGTAGTAGCAGCAGCAGTAATAGTAGTAGTAGCAGCAGCAGTAATAACGATCCCCCCCGGGCTGTTTTCATCGCTCCGTCTCCCCTTCGTGGGCATCGTCTCAGGCGCGTTCCATCCCTTGGCTGCCACTACGATCCGTCATCATCACCGTCGTCATCACCATCGTCATCATCACCGTCGTCATCATCACCATCGTCGTCGTCTCTCTAACTACAGTGATGCAGCAATCGGTAGTCCAACTATCTATCGGTTCATAAGAGACGTTTGGGTTAGATCGCGTAAATATGAACGTGTCGTTAAACCCGCCACCACCCGACACAGTCAGTTAGTAAGGGCTGTCACGTAAACACAACATGCCAATTCGTGACTAGTACAGCTCACACGGGTGTGTTGGAGAGTGAACCAACTAATTGGCTGTGTCGGGTGGTGGCGGGTTTAACGACACATTCATATATACGCGACCCAACTCAAAGACCTTGCTGCGAGAGGCCGCTGCGTGATCAGCTGTCTCGTTGGTGGCGTCTCACTCCACGGGAGGCGAGTTACTCGGTCCACTGCCGGCGGTGATGGCCGAGGCGGTGCTGTTGTGTCCATGGCGCGAGAGACGCGGGGAGGACCTCCCTGCAGACTCTCAGCCCGCACACTCAGAGAGGACACTCAGCCGCCAGGCGGCCGTCACGTGTTGGGAGTCAAACATTGGGAAGAGTGAGGAATTGCGATGTTGCTCGTGGAAAGAATGTCGGTTGGTAAATGTCTCATCTGGAACGCCACCTAAATGTGCACGAGTCACTGACATGTCACGTGTTCCACCACGTCTCGCCGTGTCTCAACAGAATGTTCTAAGGAGGGTCCTGCTACATTGGGACGTGCGGCCAATTACATGCGAGTGAATGACACTCTCGAAGTTTCTCCACAGATGGATTACATAATCCGTGGCTGTAGGGCCATCTCCTGGCTACATGTACATCCACACAAGAGGTCTTCATGCGTGAAAGCGAGGGGATATTTTCTGGTGTTCAGCCCCGGACGACTCCGGGCACAAACGAAGCCGTGTAGAGCGATATTGCACTGATAGGCGGGTGTTACAGACATTGATAATTAATTGCAGGGCCGCTTTGAGTTGGGACTAAACGGTGAGCGGGCCCACAGAGCCAGACTTAGGCACGCCAACCACAACCCTCACGCTTTCACTTGGTAAAACACTACAGTAATCATTATTTACGGCCAAACGATTTTTATATTTTGTTTTGGGAAATACATTTTTTAGAGGTTGAGTGTACGGCTAAATTTAAGCTCAGATTTAAATAAATAAAAATCCGCGCAGCGCCACTCACCTTTAGCAATCCGCGGAAGCCGCATGCTTTGTAATTGGTGCACAGTAGTCATACAACGTCACTCCGCATGGAGAACCCCCCTCATTAATAATCATGAACAGGTGACGTCCTCCAAATGGACCCCCCCCCCCCATTAACGACTATAATGAGCCAATAATGTCTGTGTGCAACGCTCGTGACGTCACTCCACGTCGACCAGCCCCCCTCATTAATAATCGTGAACAGGTGACGTCACTCCACACGGACCCCCTCCCCCCTCATTAATCATCATGAGCACGTGACGTCACTCTACATGGACACCCTTCAGGACACCCTTCACCCATTAATAATAATCAGCGGATGACGCCCCCCCCCCGCCACCTCGGCGTCAACTCACAACCCTCACTACGAAGGCAGAACCCTCACGTCATCACGTGGTCTCCGTCACGCTGTTGAGACATCCAAGTAAAAAGGACGTCACGATGAACAAGGGATTAGAACCTTCACATGAAATAAGTCCGTGTCACCGCGGCCTTACAAATTGCACGCGAATTGATGCAATGAATATATCACGTATCACGTCGCAGTCTGCTTTTCGCTTGCAAGTTTCAGATTTACTGCAATACACCCGTCCCTGGACGGGCAAGAGGCGAGTTGTATATTGTTTTAGAGAGAGGGCGGTTAGTCGCAGCCAGAGAAACAAGGGGTTGAGGCTGGCCTTGAATTGGGGGGGGGGGGGGCAGTGAGGAGTTGACAGCCACGGGTGTCTGGGGGAGTAAGTCCCAGAGCGAAGGCCGAGTGGCGGCTTGGGCAGGACGCGCGCGAGTTGCTGGGGATCTTTGTCTTTGTGCCCATGGGGGTGGACATTGCACATTCACTTGGCCGAGGGGGGAGTCCATCCGTTGAGGACAAACACGTATTGACTGTCTGTGCCCCGTGAGGAATTGTGTGTGTCTCTGTGTGTGATAGTATGCATGCGAGACAGGGTGTCTAAGGATAATTGAGTATGTGATATTACGTAACAGTGTGTGTGGCGTATACATACGGGGTTCACGGTTCAAAACCACTGGCCGCCCTGATTAATACTGCGGTGGGTGTATTAACCATTACAAGAATACGCGCAGTCTGCTTCACAGCGGACATAAACAAATCAGGTGACGTTATTCCCAAAAGCAGGCCACTGTGTGCCGGCTGCATGAAAACGACTCTAGCAAGTCAGACGATGCTGATCTCCCGAGTTCTCACCTGGTCCCACGGATTGAACTTGAAACTTGACATTGTGGCTATAACGGTGGCTGTGAATATATACAACAGTGTGTATGCGTGTGTGATATAGCGTGCGTGTAATTGTTTGGAGTGCAGCGGTTAGCGTGCCACGCTACGAATCCGGCGACCCGAGTTTGATTCCCGCTCACGACCAACACCAGTGACGAATATCTGCACCGGTCCGGGACCTCCCCCCTAGGTCGACTCAGACTTAAACTAGTACCTGGTGCGGTGTGTAGTAAACATCGCCACGAGGGAGACAAAGGCGGTCGGGCGTAGTCCTGCCCACCCACCCCCTCGTGTACCATGCCGGCATTCATAGGTGGTCGATTCAAGGCTATACGGGGGACCTTTGTCTTTGTTCACCGGCAAATATTTCACATGGCACGGAGACAACACAAGCACCTACAGGCTGTCCGTCTCGGGCATTCCTGCGAGATGTGATTAGCAATCGAAACACGGCGGTTGGCGGCAGAGCCCGAGGCGTTACTCGACACGCGGTGCAGTGCCCGTGGGATCTTCCCTAAGTTCACCGCAGAAACCCAACATCCCGTCCACTTGTCTACGCAGGGCTTGTTCAAAAAAAAAGTTGTCTTTAGGAAAAACCTCCCCCCCTCCCCCCCACTAATTGCCAACATATATAGCGGGATAGTCGGAGCAACTGCAAGAAGTTTATGATTAACATTGGTCCGAGGTGGAGCGGTGGCGCAGTGGTTAGCGCGCCACGCTAAAAGAAAGTGGCCAAGAGAGTTTGAGACCCTTCCACGGATAACATCACCCGTGATATATGAAGCGACCCTGCCCCCCCCCCTCCCTTCACCAATAACAATCAATCCACTGCTGGATGAGGGTCACCCCAGGCCGTGCGGCTAGTGGAGAAGGTTACGGAACCATACTTCACCACGCTGGTCAGTGCGGGTCGGTGAAGGTGGGGAACATGGAAGCGGGGGCATAGAATACTGTACAACAATGGATGTTGATGCAAATCTGTCTGCTGAGCACCACGTAGCCCAGCCCTGCATCCGCCGATCGCAAGCCGTTTGTAACAATATCGAGACGTAAAATATAGAGACGTTAAATAATCCGCCCGTGTTTCTCTAAGAAACGCGTCTCAGAATCTCAGGACTCCCCTTCAGCTGGGCCCCGTGAATGGGATTATTTGAACACAGAACAAACCACACAAACACATACAATATACACGCGCAGTATCTCAGCGTCTACACAGAGGCAAATATCGATTGCGTACACAATCATCTTGTTCGAGTCTTCACGAACGAGATCAACCCTATAGGTGTTCCGTCGCTCCAGCGACGTGACGATGTGATGTGCTATGAAGAAGGGTCATTGCCCGAAACGTCGCCTATTATATAGGCCTCGTTGTAAGGCCACCCACACGGCTGTTGTTGTTGACGCCAGCGTGCCGCGCCGTTTGCTGTGTCCGTGCACCGCTGACAACTCGGGCAGCAGCAGCAGTCGGCAAATATTTTATTGCGCGGATGTCATATTCTTAGGTTTTTTCGGTAAAGTCACGTAGGTAAAAAAAAAATCTAAATTAATAAAAGTAAAATAAAATAAAATCACGACGTTTCGGAGGCAACACAAGCTTCCGGATGTCCTGACAATAAAAAGCCGACCACCCCACATTTGGCGATACGGAGCGACGGGTCTTGTGAGTGACGTTAGGCGATGTTTTCGTTATTGTGAGCGACGTTAGGCGATGTTTTTGTTATTGTGAGCGACAAATTATTCGTTCGGGTGAGTCCATTCAGTGCCACCGTGGGAGTGAGCGAGTGACTTCGCGAATGTTGTGGATGTAGAAACTAAGGGGGAAGGCGCCCTCTGCCGAAGGAGTCGAGTATCTGTCAACGCGGCAGCCCGACCGCTCGGTCACCAATTGCTGAATAAAATTAAAAACTTTAAATAAACAATTTTTTGTATTTAACCAGGTAGGGCCCCACTGAGCTATACAGCTCCTTTTTTCAGAAGCGACCTGGCTATCTCAAATGACAGCTCAATGAAGTGGCGGATTACCGTGTGGAAATGTTTAGCGGCCAAATCCTCTAAAACGTGTGTTTCTAAATGTGATGGGGAAAAACCGGCGGACCCGGAGAAAAATCCACGCGAACACGGGGAGAGAGGCGCGCAAACTCCAAATAAACAGCAGCAGGCGTCAGAGTCCAGGTCGAACCCACGACCTCCTTCATCCCAGGCGAGGGGGTGAACATCATCTCGCTTCCGCGGCGCCCCAACTTGCTGCATCCCACTGGGATTTTTGCACACAGCGTTGAAATCCGGTGTTTTTTCTGGAAGACTTTGCTGTTGCGTGTAGTCACTTTAAGATGTTTCTTGTTGATGTTTGTGTTTTGTTGCGGTTTCACCCGAGTCAAGAGCCGCATGGCTCACAGGGTTATACCTCATGAATGAAGCTGAATCTTTGACCTCCCATCACAGTGACCTTTGACCTAGGTTACAAACAAAAACAAGTGGCCGGAAGAGATCGCGACCACAATATCGGCCGTGGTCAGTCCCTTCGCCAGTCCACTGCTGGATGAGTCTCCGTGGGGGCTGGTTGAGTTTGCTGGACCAGGTGAGAAGCCACGAGACAAGGGTTGGTCTCAGTTGTGTGCGTGGCCCGAGTATCTTCATCATATCTGGGCGTGTTGTTGTTTTGACCATACTTCACCACGATGGTCAGTGCGGGTCAGTGGCGGATCCAAGAGGCGAGGCGATTTGCCCAAAATGTGGTGTTTTGTTATTTTGCAGAGGATACAAATGTAACGTTTATTGTTATTATGGTTAATGGCCTATTTATGTGCCATGAAGTAGGTCCGTGGCCCGAAACGTTACCTGCTATATATTCTTTCTTTTAGGACCCACACAGTGTTACTGACGAACGTAGTGATTTTGTTGTTGCGTTTTCAAAATCAGAATCTTGATTTAGAGTGCAGGAGGAATCCGATGAGCTATGAAGCTCTTTCACTCACAGACTCCTGTGGACGGCTTCTTGGCGCGTCGCCTTCGCTGATGTTCCCCCCCCCAATGTGTGCAGATACTCCTACAGTCAGTAGATACTACTAGTTAGTAGGTACTACTACAATCAGTAGGTACTACAGTCAGTAGATACTACTGACTACTTGATACAGTCCTGAAAGACGCTTACCATTTAGTTGACGGACACACAGAACGCCGGGCTTTATAACACAAGTCCAGTAGGGGAAGGGTGGTCATTAGCGAGTTGCAGTTTGTGTACGAAGTCTAAGCGACGCCTAAATGAAGTCTAAACGAGGAGTTTGCCTGCCCTCTGGGTGTCGCGTCGAGGACGGGGGGGCTGGTTGTGTACGGCGACAGACAATCTGGCGACTATTGGGGGGCATAAGAGGGGGGGGGGGGGTTGGGGGACACTAGGGGGGGGGGGACACACGGGAGGGGGGGTGACCCTCACCCCGGGACATCACGGCACCACGTGACTCACGCTTTCTCCATTCTTCTTCTCTGCACCGCTCGGACATTCCTCGTTGTACAAAAAACCCCCCTGAGAACGCGTTTACGTTAATTAAATAACAATAATCGATGCATGCGATCAATAGTCTTAATAATAAAATAAAAATCGAGGCGTACGATCGATACTCGGAATAACGCTGCCAATATTTTATTATGACCATTATCCCCGAGCACCAATCTCTAAGTATAAAATCAAGGATTACACCCCGTGTCGATTCTCCCGTCGGTTGACATCGTCGACCGCGCTCCTCCTCTTCGTCTGTGATCGTCTCGCCGGGCACTGCTCCGCCACAACCCTCGCGTCACCCTCCATCGCCCGACCCCCACCACGACAAAGACAAAGATCCCCCCGGCATAGCCTCAACAGACTGTTGGGGCAAGTGCTGTTAGCGAAGGCACAGACCAGTTATCAAAGTTATCAAAGAATGATGGGCAGCAATGCCACGTGTTGGGTGACGGGCGTTGCAGGCAGTCACGGGGCGAGGGCAGGTCGCACGGTCAACACTCGCGGCACGCCTCATCACTCATGGCGTGTCACATTTCAAAGCTTCAAATCTAGAAGTGTAACATTTTGCTTAGAATTTGTTTAACTTTGACCGCGTGGTGACCCCCCCCACTCCCTCCCCTGTAGTCAAGGTCACGATGTGGGGTTGGCCAAGGCACGACACACGAGTTGGAACAGCGTGGCCGTCACCAATCTAAAGCTGCTCGGAGTACAGCAGGACCCGTCGCGAATCACTCCGTACGCATTCTGTCGTCACGATTTTTTAAAAAGAGTTAAAGATTTTATCACCACGGATTAAACGCTCCCATGCTACGCAATTCCGGATACATTGCAGAAACGCGGCGTCCGCAACATCGTGGGGGCAATGAACGAAGAACGGCGTCGTGAAATGTCAAAGGCTGAAATCTGGATGGAGGGAAAATTAGTTACTAATCGAGCGTCTTTGGGGTTTTCATCTACGGCTGTAATTGTCGCGGGCGTGTTTGATTGATTCTATATTCCGCACAGAATTTGATTAAAGACCATTTCCCCCCGTATTGCTGTCGTTTCTAAACTCACAGTGTGTGTGTGTGCACCATCTCTAATCTCACAGTGAGTGTGTGTGTGTGCACCATCTCTAATCTCACAGTGAGTGTGTGCACCATCTCTAAACTCACAGTGTGTGTGTGTGCACCATCTCTAATCTCACAGTGTGTGTGTGTGTGCACCATCTCTAATCTCACAGTGTGTGTGTGTGTGCACCATCTCTAATCTCACAGTGTGTGTGTGTGTGCACCATCTCTAATCTCACAGTGAGTGTGCACCATCTCTAATCTCACAGTGAGTGTGTGTGTGGACCATCTATAATCTCACAGTGAGTGTGCACCATCTCTAATCTCACAGTGAGTGTGTGTGTGGACCATCTCTAATTTCACAGTGAGTTTGTGTGTGTGCACCATCTCTAATCTCACAGTGTGTGTGTGCACCATCTCTAATCTCACAGTGAGTGTGTGTGGACCATCTCTAATTTCACAGTGAGTTTGTGTGGACCACAGAAATGTTGCACAGCAGTAGCAGCAGCCCCGAGTCTCTGCACCACCACCACCACGTCAAGGACTGCAACTTGCCTTCAGCAGTGGAACTGTGCCACTCGGGCTCCGAAATGTTTAAATGAAATGTCGCTCCACTGGTCACAGTTCAACGTCGCTCGCAGGCAACAACAACGGCCTCGAGAAGCAATCGTCAACATTCAAAACGGGGCTCTCGCCAACCGCCACCAAAATCCCCTCCCTCCCCCCCACCGCTCGCTCAATGGGGTCGGCTCCGCTCAGAACTCTGCCTCCTCGCGTGCCGACTACACCACATCGCGTCCGATCCTCCTGCGGGCGATCATCCCCACCGCGTGCCCCCACACCCGCCACCCCGCGCGCCGATCGGCGGCGTTCCGTTCGTCGCAGCACGAAGCGCGGCTCGAACCCGCGAGAGTTTACGTCGCATGATCGGCGAGCGGGCCGGGCCGACCGGCCACTCGACCTGCCCACGATTCAGTGAACCGTCACGGTCGTTAGTCGCGAGCAATTTCGAAAGTCAATCCCGCAATTCCATGACGGCGCGGTCTTAATTTGCCTCGTACGCCCCTCCCTCGTTCCATTCTCCGTCGCCCCTTCCTGCTGGCGCCTACGTGCGGGCTCGGCGAGTTGCGCGCGCGCCTCCGTGTCACGCGAATCGTTTTTTTAACGGGGCGCAGTTTCACGTGGCATGTTGTTTTACGTGACGGATCGGGAGCAAAAGGATCGACGTTGATCGTCGGCACGTCCGCACGCACGCCACCTTGGCGCCACGCAGCGCGTTTCATCGCCGCGATGTTCTCACCCGGTGCCGTCTGTTTTTGGTTAAATCGGGGAAATCGGGTTCTACAACACCCCGTCTGGGCTGGCAATGTCATGCTGAAACACTCGAGTTTCACAAAACGTTAGGATGATGAATTGGAACCCACGAGCAACTTTTTTCACTGTGGTTACATCGCAGGAAGGGAGTGGAGTCAGGGATGTAATGGATGGAAACAGAGAAAGGAACAGGAGAGGGAAGAGAGAAGAGAAAGAAAGGGGAGTGGGAGAGAGGAAACGGATGGGGAAGGAGCGAAGGAGGAACGGGAGTGAAGGGTCAGGAGAGACGAGGATGGAGAGGAAGAAGCTGCATCAGGGTCCCGACGCTGCTGCCGCTGCACGGAGAGGAGTCCGTTCTCACAGTGGGCGGGAAGAGGGGCGGAGTTCAGAGTGGGGGCGCCCACGCAGGCGTCACGTGATTTACAGGAGACGCGAGCTGATTTACATAGAGCGGTAAATACAATTTAAAAGCACAACAGGTAGCTTGCATTACACAATTTCTTTCGTAAAATGATATTGAAAATTATGCATTTACAATAAAGTGAGCATCACTCTCACTGATATTGCAAGAAATATTGATTAATTAAGCTCGCCGATTGAACCCGTTATTTAATTAGCGTGCTTGATTAGGACATCGACATTATTTGAGAATATCTCGTGCGGGAAACGCGTCGCGGCTCCGAGCAGGAGCCACCGGTGACACAATTTAGCGTCTCGATTCGGGGTCACAGCTGAATTCACGAACAAGACGCCCCCTGCCTTGCGTGGAGATGGTAAAATATGTCAGAAGACTACAGGAGGTATAATCTGCAGAAACGTACGAATCAAAAATGATCGACGTTCACGCAAAACGATTCGACGCAAGCGTGGCGAGCGTGGGGATAGATTTGAATCGATTATCCGGTGACGTTACCGTACGTCGTGTGACCGGGTTGCGTGAACTCCGCTGATACGGGAACACGATTGGGAGCACTACCCGCGGCAACATTTATTTGTTCATTTATTTGAATCGGCTTTTGTCAAATGGAACCCCGAATCGGCACGTTTCACCGCGTCGCACGGCGATCAACCCTTGGGTGGCACGACGTCGCAACGCGGCCCCCCCGACCCCTTCGGAGACCTGGGGGGGAAGGGGGGGGGCCCGGTGTCACGTGGCCCCCTCAGGCCTCCTCGATGGCGAAGGACACGACGTTGAGCGACGCCGAGCGGCGCCGAAGAACCTCCTTGCCGCTCGCCGCCAGCGCCGAGACGCGCGGAGAGAGCAGCGGCGCGCCGGCCCCCCTGCGGGGCGGCCCGCCGGGGTCGGAGCTCACGGCGACGTACCCCTCGGGCACGCGCCGCAGGGAGCCGTAGTCCGGCGGCAGGGCCTCCGGGGCGGCGGCGGCGTCCTCGCGGGAGGCCCCGACCACCGGCTTCGCGGCCGCCGCGGGAGGGCAGCTGATGTCGGCAACGACGCAGAACGAGCAGGCGTTGCGCGTCAGCGAGCCGCGTCGCCACGGGGGGGGCCGCTCCGTGGGGCCCCCGATGGCGACGCCGCCGCCATCGCCGTCGTGGCCGTCGTCGGCGCCGTCGTTCGCGCCGTCGTTCGCGCCGTCGTTCGCGCCGTCGTAGGCCGCGTTGGCGCAGCCCAGCGCCTCGCGGAAGCTGGGCGGCGGCGGCGCCGCCTCGGAGTCTTCGATCGACGTCGAGACCCAGCCTCGCCCGTGCGCCTGCCGAGCGCCGCCCGCCAAGGCGCCGCCCGCTCGCGACGGTTCCGCGACGCCGCCGCCACCATCGTTGCCCGTGCCGCGAGCCCTTCGGCGCTCGGCGCACGACCGGCGCCGGCGGTAGGCCAAGACGAAGACCATGATACAGCAGTCGATGCCGAGCTCCCCCACCTCGAGCCACGACAGCACCGAGGAGCCGAACCACAAGCTCCACTGGCTGCCGATGTTTGACAGCAGCCAGATGACCTGCGGGCGCGAGCGGTGAGCGGGGGTGGGGTGAGATGGAGAAGAAAAGAGATTTGAGCGGCGTTGGCTCGAACGTCGCGTCGACACGGCACCGATGGCGCACACCCGCGGAGGAGCCGTCGAACGTGCAGGCGATACCGCGGCAACCAGACAGGGGGTGGCCCATGCCAACCACGTCACTGGCGGCCCGGCTCCGGAGCCAGTGGATTACAACGGGATCATCGCGCGATACGCGAAACTCCCATAATGGTGGGGATCGGATAGCCAGTAGGCCACTGACCTAACGGTTCGGATTTTTGAACATCCAATTGCGAGACCCCACTGCGATGTTGTGTCAAGTTTCTTTTATCGTCCACTCTCCGCACACGCACCCACGACCAACTCGCTCACGCGCACCGACAACTCATCCCCGCGCGTTCCGGACGTCGCGAGTGTAGGACTCACGTTGGTGGCGGCCGACTCGCTGATCGTCTTCATGTTGAGCTCCCGGAAGTAAACGTTCAGCTTGGCCACGTCGTTCCTGACAGAGGGAGACGCGGCAGCGCTCGCCCGATTACTCGCACAAAGCCGCTGGGAGTCAGCGGTGCATAAGGCCCAGAAGGCCGATGGTTGCGTGACGTTATGTTGTCGTAACACTTTTTTTGGGGAGATCTTTGTTTACTTTTCTGGGTGCCGCAGTGGCGAGATGTTAACTATCTCGCCTGGTATGCAGGAGACCGTAGGTTCAATCCGGAACCTGATGCCTGCTGTATATTTGTATTGTTTGCGTCTTCCAGTTTTTCCATCCACATTTAGAATCAACGTGCGTTTGGCTGTGATACATTTCCATGTGATAAGCCACTTTATAGGGTGATCATTTGTGGCCAGATCGCTGTGAGCCTGACCTGCTAAAATTTAAAAAAAGTTATTGGTAAAAAAAAAAAGTGCGTCTTACCTCACAGTGGTGACGGAGTAATTATTCTGCAAGGAGAGGAGGTTGAAGATCCATTTCTACGGAACAGAAACGCGCACACGTTACACACGACACGTTACACACGACACGTTACACACGACACGTTACACACGACACGTTACACACGATGTGTGAGGATGGAAAAGTCGCGTGACCGTGCATTCGTGTTAAGCGTAATTATTGTTGTCATCATTCTCGAACACCTCCGATGGCCAGAAAAAGCCACGAGGTCGACGGTGCCACGAGGTTGTGGGCCTCACCTCGGAGCTGCTGTCAGGCCAGGTGGCGTATCCTGGGGTCACGGCAAAGCGCTTCGTACTGGGAACAAAACATCGAAGCAAGTGGGACAAAAGCCTTTGTTTTCAATACTCATCAGCAGCCATGGTCTATCCACTGCTGGACGAAGGCCCTCCTCTCACGATGTTGCGACGTAATATTTGGATACCGCCGTTTCCAGCTCACTTCCTCGCATGCGAACGCAAGGCAGACGGGGTGCGGGGGGGGGGGGGAGAGGGTGACGTACGTGCACGGCTGTGCACATTTGTCAACGCAGCCGAGCTCGTCGGAGATGAATCGTCGGTAGAGTTTGTAGTAGCAGTGTCCTGCAGGCAGACACGGAGGGACAACGCACACCCCGTCACCAACGCCCACAACCCTCCCCCTTCGCTCGCAGCGTCACCACCGCAGAGCGACTCTGCGGTCTTCATCGAACCCGCGGAGCGCCACGTCCCCAAGGTGGCGTGGTCCGAGCGTGGAGCGGCGGTGCAGCGAGTGGCGGTGCAGTGGTCGTACACTTGTATGTCGGACTTATTTCGCACCGTGCGTAGCCAACCGAGCTAACCGGGAGGTGCGGGGGAAGGACAACAAGCTAAACAGCTCTAAAGGTCAGCGAACTCGAGTTCGATTCCCGGCCACGGCTACCGTCGGCGACATTGGCACCGGGACTGGGCCTTGTCCAGGTCGACTCGACATCAGCACTGGGGAGACAAAGGTGGCCAGGTGTGGCGCTGGCTCGTGCGCCACGGTGACCCCCCCCCCCCCCCTTCTTGCGCTGCGCCGGGACCCTCATCGGCGTTGGCTCAAAGTGCCGGCACCGACAGTGCACTGAAGGTTCCCCGGGGGTCGGTGTCAGCGTGGAGAACGGCAGCACAGCAAGCGGTTAGCACTGCACTGCTCTACGACCCCAGCAAAACGAGTGATGATTATGTGAACCGGTCATGGACCTCCCCTGGGTCGACTCGGCCTCAAATGAGTATCTGGTGCGGTGTGTAAGCATCACTACTCGGGGACAAAGGCGGCTGGGCGTGGTGCTGGCCACCCACCCCCTTGCGTGCCGTGCCGGCCTTTCATAGGTGCTACTCGCTAACAGCACTTGCCCTAACAGTCTGTTAAGGCTACACGGGGGATCTTTGTCTTTGTTACCCCACGCCGTGTTATTGTAGCTGCAGTAGGCGGCGTTGGGAGGGAGGGGGTAGAAGTAGTGACCACAGCCACACATCTCCACCAGCGCTAGCTGGAAGCAGGAGCGCACGCACGCCTGCACGCACGCACACACGCACACACACACACACGGGTAAATACGCCAATCCATGTCTGCGATATCATCTCCGTTAACGCGTGGCACGGCGTCTGTGGTTTGGCGGCGATGGCAGGTGGGCGGCGTGCTCCGTCACCTGCACGGTGTAGGCGGAGGAGTAGAGGTTCAACACGGGAACGTCGCTGCCGTCCTCCGTGCAGTTCCCGTACGGGTCGGGCATCCGAGTCGCCTCCAACTGTACAGGAACAGGGCATGCGTCTCACCCCGCGTCACACACGATGTGTCTCACCGCATGTTACGCACCGCGCGTCGCACACTGCGCGTCACACACCGCGCGTCACACACCACGAGTCATACACCGCACGTCACACACCACACGTCACGCACCGCGTCGTGCACCTCTAGGGTGACATATAGTGATAACAAATACGGGAAGGAGAGTAGTAATGTCAGTCTTTTGTGTTTCTGTTCAAAGTAACATTTACCAATGCCCCACAACGTTCATCCCACAATGCTCTGCTCCATCCCACAATTCCCTTATGCATCCTCCAACGCCTTATAATCTCGCACGATGCCACGCTCCACCGCACAATACCCACGGCGCCCCGCTCTGCCCGACGCGACCCACAGCACCCTGCAGCACGATGCCCGCGTGGCGCGCCCCGCACCATGCGGATGCCGAGCGAGGTCTCGATGCCGGGGCGCATGTCGAAGCCGCCCTCCTCCATGAAGGGCGGCGACTCCTGGTCGTGCACCATGATGCGGGCGCCCGCCACCGTGGATAGGAAGGGGATGTAGTCGTTCTGCTCCGTGCGCAGGATCAGCGACAGGCCTGGCACGGCAAGCAGGGCACTTACTCTCACGCGGCGACGGCGGCGACGTCCCACGACCCGCACGTTTACGCGAGACAAACGCATCGTCCCGTGCGGCCCCGCGGCCGCTCGCGAGCGGCGCCGAGGCACGGCCGGCACGGCGCACGAAGGGGGCGGTGCGGCCAGCACCCGGCCCGACCGCATTTGTCTTCTCGAGCCGCTGACGTTCTTACGCACGCCACCGAGAACTCGTTTGAGGCTCGGTCGACCGAGAGGAAGGCCTAGGACCGGTTCGGATATTCGTCACCGGTGTTGCGGCCGTGAGCGGGAATCGAACTCGGGTCGGCCGGGTCGGGACACCGACTCCTGCTGCGATGCGGCGCTCGGGAGAAGCCGTGAGAGCGCGGCTCACCGTAGTCTCAACCTGGGTAGTGAGACTCACCGTAGTCTCGGCCCGGTTTGGAGGCTTGCCACAGTTTGGACGAGTTGGCGCTGTTGAACGTGTAGCAGTTGCCGTAAGTCGGGTGGTGGAAGCGGCTGTATTCACTGCGCGCCGGGGATACAAAGATGGCGTGGACAGAGAGCCGCGCTTAGTGGAAGCGAAACACGCGCACACGCTCGTGGGCACGTGTCGGTGTGCGCTGTGCGCACTTGTGGAGAGCGGTGGTGCAGCGGTGAGCGCACTGCGCTACGAACCCGGCGACCCGAGTTCGATTCCCGCTCATGGCCAACACCAGTGATGATTCTCTGAACCGGTCCTGGGCCTCCACTAGGTTAACTCAAATTAGTACCTTGTGTGATGAGTAAACATCGCCACTAGGGAGACAAAGGCGGTCAGGCATGGTGCTTGCCACCCACTCCCTCGTGTGCCGTGCCGGCCTTCACAGGTGCTACCCGCTAATAGCACTTCTCCCGACAGTCTGTTTACGGCTATGCGTGGGATCTTTGTGCAATAACTACGACACTCCACACCGTCTGCTTCGTTCACAATGGACGTTAAAGACGCCAGACCTGGAAATTACTCGACTGGAATAGACAGCAGCGGCAGCCGCAGCCACCGCCCCCCTACTACGAAAAAACCTGGTAGGACCCTCCTGAAAAAGCCGGATGGCGGCGGCAGTGGTGGTGGTGGCTACGCTGCTGCACGGGCCCGCTGGCTCTACTCCAGCGCTGTGGAGGCAGCAGCAGAGAGGGTTGGTGGATCACCGCACACAGGTGTTGTTGCGAAACTCCCTTCCCGTGGGCATCGAGGTGCGACACCCTTGATTACCAGGAGAAGGCGGTACAGCAAGTGAACTAATCGGCATCTGTTTCCATCTGCATGGGGATAGAGCGTTGCCCCCTCGCACGCATGTGGATTTTCTCTGGGCGCTTCGGTTTCCTCCCACATGTACAATGAACACTCGTTAATTGGCCGATAACATCCTAAAATAAAAACTCCAATGCAGCGGCAACCCAGTTGAAATACAAAGAGTCCTTCAACTCACTCCGGCATTCCTGGATGAATAAGTGCATTCTAATGATCATTCTTAATAATCACGATGCGAACTATTGCAACTCGCGCCATGCAAAGTGTGAGTCAACGCGCGCTCGCCTGTCGCTGCAGGGCATCCCGCTGAACATGCAGGAGAAGATGAAGTCCCCGATGTTGGCGTCGTCAGACTGCTTGATGTAGGAGGGCACCTGGCTCATGATGTTGACGTACTGGAAGGTGTACCACTCGGTCACCGCCTGCACGCCCGAGCCGTACGACTGGTAGAAGCAGTCGCCGCCCGTTGCGTTGCACTGCACGGGGGGCACAGACGAGCGGGGGGGGGGGGGGGGAGACACGGCGGACGTCAGCCGGAGACACGGCGGGACGAGGGCACTCGTTGGTCGTTGGTCACGCGCCGGGAACGCGGCGAGGAGGCGCGAGAAGACGACGTGGGCGCAGCGAAGACGCAGGGACGCACGGGACGCACGGGGACGTACGACACTCGGGGCGGGGACGGGAAGACGCTAGGTAGATGCGGCGAGCGGCGGGAGAGCGCGAGGAGACGTGGCAAGACGCAGGAGGAAACAAGCGTGCGAGAGCCGACACAGCGACGCGTGGGAGAGGCGTCAGAATGAAGGCGACAGGGCGAACCCCCGAGGTGACAGCGGCGCACACACACACACACACGCACACACACACACATGCACACACATGCACACACACACACATGCACACACACACACATGCACACACACACACGCACGCGCACACACACACATGCACACACACACACGCACACACGCACACACACATACATGCACACATACACGCGCACACACACACACACGCACACACACACACACGCACACACGCACACACGCACACATGCACACACACACACACGCACCAGCTTGAAGCCGACGGTGTCCGGCCCGGTCCTCTCCAGGACGACGCCGGTGTCAAGCCGGATGCCCGGGGCGGCGGCAGTGCCCGCAGACTGCGTGGCGGGCGGCTGGTAGCCGTAGAGCCGGTGCAGCGCCTGCCCCGTCATCGAGTCGAGCTCGCGCAGGGAGCTTTGCACTGCCTCGTACCTTACGCACACGCGGGGGGGAAACAGAGGTAAAGAGAACGATCCCCCCGTGTAGGTTGCAGTGTTTTCAGACACGTGTCTGTCCATCTGTCCATCAGCATCCAGTGTTCCTTCTGTCTGTGCATCGTCCATCCATCTGTTTGTTCATGTGGTCATCCATCTAACTGTGTCCATGTGTGCGTACATCAGTCAGTCTGTCCATCCATCTATCCACATGTCCATTCGTCCTTCTATCTATCCGTGTCTGTATCCATCTCCCTGTCCGTGTCCATCTGTAGAGTCTGAGTGTCCATCCATCCTTCTGTCTGTGTCCACCAATCTCTCTGTCTGGGTGTCCACCTGCCTTCCCCATGCATTAACTAGCACCAAACTACGCACCCACCACACTCACTGCACCCAACCCAGAGACCACAACTCAACCACCCACCTAGCCAACCACCGATCCACCCACCACACACACCACAACCCAACCACCCAAACCACTCACGCACTCACCGCAACCCAACCCACACACCACAACCCAACCCATCCACCACACTCACCACAACCCACCCACCACTACCAACACACCACAACCCACCCACCACACTCACCACAACCCAACCCTCCCACCACACCCACCACAACCCACCCACACCCACCACACCCGAACCCACCGGTAGGGGTTGAGGCTGCAGACGGTGATGGCGGGGAAGGTGCTCTGCTGGAACATGAGGCCCATGGTGACGGCCACCGTGTAGCTGTAGTACTGCAGGAAGACGAGGGCGCTCGTGTAGTAGAAGAGGATGACGGTGACGATGAAGAGCAGCGACCAGAAGGCCGTCTTGAGCTTGTTGCGCTTGGAGCACACGAGGCGGATGGCGCCGTGGATGGTGGTGTTGTCGCAGAAGAACTCGAACATCTCCTCGTACGAGTCGTAGAAGTCCGTCACGCTGCCCCTCCAGAACTCCAGCACCGTGGGCGGACGGCGCTCCGGCGCCGCCGCCGCCCCCGTGCCCGCCGGCTCGCCCATCGCCCCGCCCGCGGGGGTTGAGCGTGGCCGTGGCGGGTGGAGGTGGTGGTGGTGGTGGTCCCTGGCCGCGGGTGCCTGCGGGGTCGCCGAGGGGTGGTGGCGGCTTTTGGTGGAAGAGGTGAAATGGCTGCCGAGGGGTGAGGGGGGGGGGCGGGAACGCGGTGAGCGGGCGAGAAACACACAAACGATAAAAAGCAAACAGACCCTCGGAGATTCTCTGTCGAAAGCGACTTCCTTTATAATATCGATTGGGAAACATATTTCATATTTCAGAAAACATTTCATATTTATTAATATTATTTATCAATAAATATTCATATTTCAAAAAACCGCGTGCGCATTGTTTTTATTTTCACTAGAAAATAAATAATAAAGAACTCACGACGCACGTCTGGAGCTTCCTTAGGCCGCGCCGTTCAGCAGAGAGCGCAACGCTCGTGGGCTCCTCCCGTCCCCACTGGCTGACGCTCAGATTCTTGAGTCTGGGTGGCTGCTCGCACGACACGGGTATAGGGGACAGCGCGGCTGTTACCGGGCCGGAGATCGCCGCTCTGGAACACGGCGGCAGAAAAACCCGTCTGCACTCCGTCCTGAATTCCACCACCACCACCACCCTCACCCAGCCATCAGGAGGCCACCTGCCTCCCCAGCAAGCAGTGAGCTGCCTTGCATCGCTTCTGAACCGGCCACGACAGGTGCAGTCACCTTCTCCACGAATGAAAAGTGAAAGGATTTCTCAAATGTGACTGTGGCCAACGCAACAGTGGAACAAATTGCCAGTCGGTGGGTCTCTGTGTGATGAGTCTGTGGGTCTCTGTGCGATGAGTCTGTGGGTCTCTGTGCGATGAGTCTGTGGGTCTCTGTGCGATGAGTCTGTGGGTCTCTGTGCGATGAGTCTGTGGGTCTCTGTGCGATGAGTCTGTGGGTCTCTGTGCGATGAGTCTGTGGGTCTCTGTGCGATGAGTCTGTGGGTCTCTGTGCGATGAGTCTGTGGGTCTCTGTGCGATGAGTCTGTGGGTCTCTGTGCGATGAGTCTGTGGGTCTCTGTGCGATGAGTCTGTGGGTCTCTGTGCGATGAGTCTGTGGGTCTCTGTGCGATGAGTCTGTGGGTCTCTGTGCGATGAGTCTGTGGGTCTCTGTGCGATGAGTCTGTGGGTCTCTGTGCGATGAGTCTGTGGGTCTCTGTGCGATGAGTCTGTGGGTCTCTGTGCGATGAGTCTGTGGGTCTCTGTGCGATGAGTCTGTGGGTCTCTGTGCGATGAGTCTGTGGGTCTCTGTGCGATGAGTCTGTGGGTCTCTGTGCGATGAGTCTGTGGGTCTCTGTGCGATGAGTCTGTGGGTCTCTGTGCGATGAGTCTGTGGGTCTCTGTGCGATGAGTCTGTGGGTCTCTGTGCGATGAGTCTGTGGGTCTCTGTGCGATGAGTCTGTGGGTCTCTGTGCGATGAGTCTGTGGGTCTCTGTGCGATGAGTCTGTGGGTCTCTGTGCGATGAGTCTGTGGGTCTCTGTGCGATGAGTCTGTGGGTCTCTGTGCGATGAGTCTGTGGGTCTCTGTGCGATGAGTCTGTGGGTCTCTGTGCGATGAGTCTGTGGGTCTCTGTGCGATGAGTCTGTGGGTCTCTGTGCGATGAGTCTGTGGGTCTCTGTGCGATGAGTCTGTGGGTCTCTGTGCGATGAGTCTGTGGGTCTCTGTGCGATGAGTCTGTGGGTCTCTGTGCGATGAGTCTGTGGGTCTCTGTGCGATGAGTCTGTGGGTCTCTGTGCGATGAGTCTGTGGGTCTCTGTGCGATGAGTCTGTGGGTCTCTGTGCGATGAGTCTGTGGGTCTCTGTGCGATGAGTCTGTGGGTCTCTGTGCGATGAGTCTGTGGGTCTCTGTGCGATGAGTCTGTGGGTCTCTGTGCGATGAGTCTGTGGGTCTCTGTGCGATGAGTCTGTGGGTCTCTGTGCGATGAGTCTGTGGGTCTCTGTGCGATGAGTCTGTGGGTCTCTGTGCGATGAGTCTGTGGGTCTCTGTGCGATGAGTCTGTGGGTCTCTGTGCGATGAGTCTGTGGGTCTCTGTGCGGTGAGTCTGTGGGTCTCTGTGTGTCCGCCGCGAGTGATCTCCGAGGGTACGGGTGGTATCGACGTTCGCTCTCTGCTGAAGCCAGCAGCTGGATTCACAACTCGGACATCGATTCACAGTCACTACCCGACTCGTATCCGTACTAAACCGCTCGCCAAGGCGGCAGGCACAGACCACGCCATCGGCTTCAACGGAGACCGCTCGCCGCACGCAGCGCACCAGAACCTCGGCTGAGACAAACGTCGCTCACACGGCCGTCCAGCTCCCTCCCCGGGGGATCGAGTGCCGTGAGCGAGCGCCCGTCAAGGCAGCCGGCAGCGCAATTGGGCGAGCCTCTCACCCACCTTGCCTTCCCAAAGCAGCCACCTTCCCATGCCGTCGTGGTGGGTCACGGGGAGGGCGGCGGTCATAGGACGAGCTGGCGAGTCAGCCCGCGGCGGAGGTGGACATGGGCCCACGGCCTGCTCCACCGCCACCAAAGACAAAGATCCACCGTGTAGCCTTAACATCTCCTCTACTTAGCCCTGAGAGCGGTGTCAATTCCACATTCTTATGGCGGGGGCGAGCATATCCATATCACAACCACTGTCAACGTTACCACAACGTGGTACTTGCTTTGTGCACGCTGGAGAGATGATGGGCTGTCACCCCCACCAACCAGGGTACGAAGTTGCAACCTTACGATTGCTGGCTGCCTGCGCCGAATGACTCCACTTCTTTACCCAGGGGGCTGTGCTGCCAACAGAGGCCAGTGCAGAGAAGTGCATTGTTCTGCTCTGTGCTCTACTCCCAACGTCTAGCCACGTTGACCAGCGCGGTGAAGTATGGTAAAACAAACAAGTCACATATGACATGGGTAGGCCCTCATCCAGCGGTGGATCGACAAAAGGGCTGTGCTTGTATAGTCACCAAATCCTCACCGAGTCTCAATACTCGGTTTCAGGAGGGTCCTGCTACGTTGGGATGACCGCCCAATTCCATGAACGAGATGGAGCGACGACATTAGCTCGCGTGCAAGGGGCTACGCACACGGATTAGGTCGCGAGTGATGGCGACAGCCTGACGGACTGGGGCGGCATTGATCCAGCAGTGGAGAGATCATGGCAACTGGGGCGGCACGTGACGAGATATTATCCGCCTCGCCTGGTACGCAGGAGGTCGCGAGTTCGATCACGACCCTGACGCCTGCTGCTGTATATTTGAAGTTTGCGCGTCTCTCTCCCCGTGGTCGCGTGGATTTTTCTCCGGGTCCTCTAGTTTTTCACCTCCACATTAAGAAACGTGCGTTCTAGAGGATTTGTCTGCTTATATTTCCACCCGATAAGCCACTCTTCGTTGAGCCGTCATTGGTGCTAGCCAGGTCGCTTCTGAAAGAGCTACACAGCTGAGTGGGATCACAGCTGGTAAAATATAAAGAGTTTAGCTCCGTTGTAGAGTTGACTGCTGCTGCTGCTGCTGCGGACTGTGCGTGTACAACTTACCCTTCCCTCTGCTCTGTATCGGAGAAAACACACGGGGGAGGGAGAGAGACGCGCAAACTCCAAACGTACAGCAGGCGTCAGGGTCGAGATCGAACCCACGACCTCCTATATAGACAAACACGCTTAGACATACTACTGGGCTAATACAGACATTCATCACCGCTGTTTCGGCTGTGGGTGGGAATCAAACTCGGGTCGCCGGGTTTGTAGCAACACACCCCACAACACACACACAACACACACACAACACACCACAACACACACACAACACACACACAACACACACACACCACAACACACACACAACACACACACACAACACACACACAACACACACACAACACACACCACACACCACAACACACACTACAACACACACCACAATACACACCACACAACACACACACCACAACACACACACCACACACACAACACACACACACCACACACACAGCACCGCTGTGCACACACGGACACCCGATACAGGTGACGGACACCACCACGGCACTGAGCGAGTGTAAGAGGAGCAGATTGTTGACTTGATTGGGTGAACAAACAACAGATTAACCAGGTGAACGTTTTAAACGGGGAGGGAGTGGGAGCGGCGGAGCAGCGGTCGGAACCCGGCTGCCCGAGTTCGGCACCCGGCCACGTTTGCGAGTGGCTACGGGCTAAGGGGCCGTCCATAAATGACGTCACGCGATTTTGGACTATTTTTTACCCCCCCCCCCCGTTCGTCACACGGCGTCACAAAAGTCAGACCCCCCCCTCAAATATGACGTCACAAAGCTCTGCCCCCCCCCCCAAAATAAAACATGCTTCAAATCGCTTTAAACTATTGTCATTGTAATGCATATTTAATGTGCCGCTGCACTCTGATGTTGTAGGAGAAAACATTTATTAAAAAGTATATTTAATTAAGTAGAACGTGTTGTCTATAGTTATTTAAATTTGCGCATTTTGATGTGACGTCACATTTCTCCCCCCCCCCCCGTCACAAATGTCTGACCCCCCCCCCTAGGTGCGTGACGTAATTTATGGACGGCCCCTAAGTGATTGAAAACAACTTCTTTGAGATTTATTCTCAACAAATATGCACGACAAGTGATAGTGTCAACTTCAAGTTGTCTATTCATCTTCTTTTGCTTATTACTATTTAAAATAAAATATTCTGTATCCTTGCTGACAGCTTTTTTTATTTAAACTCCAACCAACAGTCTCGACTCAGTCACAAATCGTTCTCCTGAGCAGCCAAAGCACAGATTCCTAGCTTAGTGAACGACTAATCATTCACACGAGCAACACAACACGTACCCACCCATACACGTACCCACCCATACACGTACACCTTGATTGGAAATATTTCTTTAGAACTAGTTCTTCTTGTGTTTTTAGTTCGTCGTCCTTCCACGGCACCTCCGATTAGCGCGGTTGGCTACGTACGGTGCAAAAGAAGTCTAACAAACACGTAGAGTCGTAGACGCGCCCGTGTACGCGTACCAACGTACGAACTGCGTTCTGCGAACTCGTCTCTACCCGAGTCGTCTGCCATCATCGCCTTCCTTTCTTCCCTGTCGCTCTCTCTCCGTGAGATTTACTCCGGAACTTTGCACTCGATTCTCCCCCCAGTCACCATCCACATCGTCCACATTGCTGCTGGAACCCAATTCGCTCGTCGCCTTACCCGGCTTCTCGTGGCACTGATACATGTTCCCAATCGAATCCACATTCGTGTCGAGTCTCTTCTTGAATAATTGCACACGTCCCAAGAAATCTAAAGCTGTGCCTTTCTTTAATTATGCTCGTGAATGTGCGTGTGGGTTGTCACCCTGCTGCTGTATATCGCCTTGTGTGTGAACAGAGGCAGCGCGCACATCCGTGTGGAGATGGCGCGTGCCCTTGTCGCCCACAATGCGGCACTGCGGTGGCGAGGAGATGTCGACTGCCTCGCCTGGTTTACAGGAGGTCGTCGGTTCGATCCCGATCCTGACGCCTGCTGCTGTATTATTTGGAGTCTGCGTGTCTTTTTCCCGGTGGCCGCGTGGATTTATCTCCGCATTTTCAGGTTTTCCCCTCCAAATTTTGAAAATAATATCACGCTTTTAGAGTTGTTTGGCTGCTATAAATGTGCACAAATAACGCCACTGCGTTGAGCTATCATTTGTCGCTTCCGAAAAATAGTTTTAAAGCGCAGTGGGCCTTTCCTGGTCTAACAAAGGGTTTAAATCGTTTAAATATAGCCCTGTACAATCCAGCAGCATTTGATTAAACAGCCTGCTGCTGATGAGACCCATAATGGTGAAACTGGTTCAGAGATCTCGCGATTAAAACCAATACTAATGCTCCTGGGAATCGCGTGTGGCCCGCTAAACTAATCCAGGGCTCATGGGACACCGACTCAATAATCTAGCTCCACCATCATCGCCTCGATGTAATACTTATTACCAGCGCGTCTCTTACATCAACATCAGCCGTACGAAGATCGAGAATCGAATTAAATGTCAGTGCTAAGCCGCGTAATGAGTTTATTATATGCAATCCTGCAATGGTTAGACATACAACTACACTTGACGACTATATGATGAGTGTATTTAAGTTACGCATTACACTGGCATGAAGGTAGCATTGTGTGTGTGTAGTCGGGGTGCGGTGGTCAGTGCATGCCGCTAGGAACCGGGCGACCGCAGTTTGATTCGCGCTCACGACCAATATCAGTGGAGAGATATCCGATATGTCTACGGGTCTCTGTGTGAGTCTGTGGGGTCTCTGTGTGAGTCGGTGGGGTCTCTCTGTGTGAGTATGTGGGGTCTCTGTGTGAGTCTGTGGGGTCTCTGTGTGAGTCTGTGGGGTCTCTGTGTGAGTCTGTGGGGTCTCTGTGTGAGTCTGTGGGGTCTCTCTGTGAGTCTGTGGGGTCTCTCTGTGAGTCTGTGGGGTCTCTCTGTGAGTCTGTGGGGTCTCTGTGTGAGTATGTGGGGTATCTGTGTGAGTCTGTGGGGTCTCTGTGTGAGTCTGTGGGGTCTCTGTGTGAGTCTGTGGGGTCTCCGTGCGAGTCTGTGGGGTCTCTATGTGAGTCTGTGGGGTCTCTGTGTGAGTCTGTGGGGTCTCTGTGTGAGTCTGTGGGGTCTCCGTGCGAGTCTGTGGGGTCTCTATGTGAGTCTGTGGGGTCTCTGTGTAAGTCTGAGGGGTCTCCGTGCGAGTCTGGGGAGACAAAGGCGGCCGGTCGTGGTGTTGAACCACCCAGCCGGAGCATTGCGTTAAAAAGCGCTCACTAACAGCACTTGCCCCGTCGGTGCGTACGGAGAATGAACGAGTGTGTGAGCGAGTATATGAGTGTATGGATGAGTGAGTGTGTGCATGTATGTGTGGATGAGTGAGTGTATGGATGAGTGAGTGTGTGAATGTATGTGTGGATGAGTGTGTGAGTGTGGATGTGTGAGTGTGGATGAGTGAGTGTATGAGTGAGTGGATGAGTGTGTGTGTGTGAATGAGTGAGTGTGCGAGTGAGTGAGATGGCCCGTGTGCGTCAGAGAGCCTCACCTGTGAGTGAGGCAGCGTCTCGCCCGGGCTGTGGGTGCGAGTCTCTGCAGCCAGGAGCGACCCTCGGCTCGCCTTTGAGCGCCACCCGAAACCGGTCCGGCCTGCCCCACCCCAGCCTCGCACACAGCCACTCGACAAAGGCGCCCCGCCCCTCCATCCCAACTACTGCCCCCCCATTCCCTCCCCCTCCAGCCCCCCACCTCCTCCTCCTCCAGCCCCCCCACCTCCTCCAGCCCTCCCCCACCTCCTCCAGCCCCCCCCACCTCCTCCCCCTCCAGCCCCCCCCACCTCCTCCCCCTCCAGCCCCCCCATCTCCTCCCCCCGCCCCCCCCCCCGTCCACCTCCCTCCCCCTCCCGCCCCGCTATACGGCCTTTAACAGAATGTCGGGGCAAGTGATTTAATTTTTTTTAGCGAACACCCATAAAGGCCGGCACGGCACGCGAAGGGGTGGATGGCCAATACCCCACGCCCCAGCCGCCTTTGTCTCCCCAGTGGCGATGTTGACGCAGCGCGCCAGGTATTACATCGCACCAGGGGAGACTTGGGGCCGCTTCGGATCATTCTGAATCGTCACGGGTGTTGGCCGCGTGCGGGAATCGAACTCGGGTCACCGTGGGGTCGCGAAAACAAATAGCAGTGCTCCTCACCACTCGCTGTGTGTGTGTCTGCAGGTAGAGTTGTAATCCTCACCACTCGCTGTGTGTGTGTCTGCAGGTAGAGTTGTAATCCTCACCACTCGCTGTGTGTGTGTCTACAGGTGGAGTTGTAATCCTCACCTACTCGCTGTGTGTGTGTGTCTATAGATGGAGTTGTAATTATATCGTTGTTGCTTCACACGTGGAGGAGGCTCCCACAAACGTGAAACGCGGAGATCTCCACATTGTACGACGGTGCATTGTGGGTGCTAGACCGGGCATCTCGGAGGTGTCCAATGGCTTGAGCCCTTTGTCTTTAGTAAGACGAAGATGGTCGGCAGTGCCGGCCAGCACGTCGCGTCTGTAGAACTGCTTTGTGTGCTGAGTTTGTTGTCCTTCCCCGGCACCTCCGATTGGTACCGTTGTGGCTACGTACGGTGCGAAAAAAGTTCAAGATAACTGTGCACACTCCACGTGTCGCTTGCGGGTCGTTGGGAAGTCGTTGACCTCCACGTGGCACCCACGTGGCTGTGGCCCGCGTGCCACGTGTCCCCGAACTGCGCTGGACACCAAATTTTGTCGTCCGATTTGACGAGGTAATCGAGCAATGAGCCTCCACTCGTCTGTCCCTCCACATGCAACATATGTGTTTCACTCATCCCACCAGCCGCACGGCCTTCTGGGAGTGCACACTGTCGGCACAAGCACAATTCTGGAGCGATTTGTAAGTTATTAATCAGCAGTCAGGCTTGCTGGAACTAATGCTGAACTGCCGGATGTTCATAAGTCAGGAGCGTCTCTGTTAGATTTGGGTCCTAGATGTACGCAACACGATCGACTACACAACATGAAACAACAATTTAGCCTCATTCTGCAGAAGATGAATAACAGAACAAATAAGCAGATAATCCGCCTCCTTGCCAGATCCGTCCATCCGCAGAAATGAAAGTGTCTTGTACACATCCTACGTAGGCACGTGACGGGGTCTACAGTTCCTGCGCACACACGTTCTCCGATGCACAAAGACAAAGATCCCCCGTATAGTCTTAACATGCTGTTGGGGCAAGTGCTGTTAGCGAGCACCTATGAATGCCGGAACGGTACACGAGGGGGTGGGTGACAAGCACCACGCCCGACCGCCTTTGTCTCCCTCGTGGCGATGTTTACACACCGCACCAGGCACTCATTTGAGTCTGAGTCGACCTAGGGGAGGCCCAGGACCAGTTCAAATAATCGTCACTGGTGTTGGCCGTGAGCGGGAATCAAACTCGGGTCGCCAGGTTCGTAGCGCAGTGTAGCGCTAACCGCTACACTACCGCTCCCCACTCTCTGATGTACACGCGCATACAAACTCACACCATCCCCTTTCCCCAATATTTACACACTCGCTTTTGTACAAATGCACGCTTTATCATAACGATATCGATTAAAAAAATATATGTTTGGGAATGCGTTAACTAAATGGCGGAGCAGTGACGACGCAGTGGTTAGCGCACTGCGTTAGGAGATCCGGCGACCTTAGTTCGATTCATGGCCACGGCTAACATCAGTGGCGAGTGATATCTGAACGAGTCCTTAGTGGTGAAGTATGGTCAACCCTCCCCCATGACCGATATGGCGTAGGGGGGCCTTCGTCCAGCAATTGATTGAAAATGTGTGGAAAGTTATTTTGCCATCATTGTTATAGCTTAGCAGGTATTGTTAGCGAGCACCTATTAAGGGGAATTCAGCACGCTCACACCAAGAAACGTGCCCATGGGTGGCCTTGTTAGCTGCCTGCGCAACATTGACACAGACACACACACGCAGAGGCAGCCCCATGAGCCTCCCTAACATGAAGAGCAATAATGTAGATAAAATAAGGCAAAGGTACCCCGTGTAGCCTACACAGATGATTGGGGGAAGTGCTTTTAGTGAGCAGCTATAGCAGTAGTCGGCAAGCTGCTTCGTGACGTTGTTTATCAAGGACCCACCGTCTCCTACCCACCACACAGCGCACTGCGGCTCTTGAAATATTGAGGTTTTTTTTCCACCGAATTCGATAAAAATGTCTCTTCTTGCTATTTTGGTTGCCGACCCCTGACCTATAGGAAGGCCGACACGCGATACGAGGCGTGGGGTGGCCAGCGACACGCCCGGCCGTCTTTGTCTCCCCAAGTGCGAATGTTTACACACCGCACCAGGTACTCATTCAAGGCTGAGTCGACATGGGGGTGGGGGGGTCCCAGGAACGATGAATAAATATTCGCCACTGATCTATCAACGGTGGCCGTGACTCGATCTCTGCTCGCTGCTTTCGTAGCGCAGCGTGCTCACCACCGCGCCACCCCTCCGTACACCGACTCATCGTACACACACACACACGTTATACCCACACATACACACACGTTATACACACACACACACACACGTTATACCCACACACACACGTATCACGCACACACACATACGTTATACCCACACACACGTTATACACACACACACGTTATACCCACACACACACACGTTATACCCACACAGACACGCATCACGCACACACACACACGCATTGTACACCCACCGAGACCGAGCGTTCTCCGCCCCCACCTCCCTGGCCCGGCGCACGAAACGAGTTTTGCCCAGCGCGTACTGGATCGTGCGCAAACCATCACGGCACACACACGCACACGCACCACACACGCACACGCACCACACACACACACGCACATTCCTTGCTTCAGGGCGCTTCACCCCACTCGCGGGGTCGAGCCAAGCCAGCACAGCCAGCCTCCTCCTCATCATCTTCGGGGTGGTGGATAAAATGAGTATCGCTTTGTGGGGAACGTAATCGGTGGCTCCTTTGTGGATGGACCGCATCTACGCCACAGGAATGTGGAATTCCCACCGCTGGCTCCGGGGCTGTGGACAGGGGATGAAACCACAGCTCCGTGAATGTTTTGGGTGGGAAACCACCCTGACGTCATAACAAAAACCAGCCGTGGTCCATCCACTGCTGGATGGAGGCCGACTCAAGCTATCAGCATCTCACACCGTTCCGCGACGTAGCAATCCCGTCTCGAACTACCGCACGCGAGCTGAGCGCATCGCTCCATGTGTGGGGGACGGTTTCTCGAGGAGCTCTGTCCCTTGGCTGCCACTCCCACGTTAGTCTCGATCGCCGGCCTGTATTCTTGTTCGAGACGCGTCCTGCTCGAGTCCCCTTACTCTCGCAACTGAGACTATCCTGGTCACTTGAATCCTCACCTGGCTAAGCAAGATGTCAAAATGATGCAGTATCTATGTATCCTGGAGAAATCTGATGAGTTCTGAAGGTTTTTTTCACGGATGTCCAGTAAACTGTAGTTTTTTTTTCTGATTCGCCCACATTGGACATCTGTGAATAAAGAGCTCCATAGCTCATCAGATTCCGCCAGTGTAAATGAAGATTCTGATCCGCGTGTTCCTCCTCCTCCCTCAATGGAGTCATTCCAAGCGCGCATCTCTCCATCCCCTCTGACGTCCACACTTCGAATGTCCCGTCATGCTCGCTCGCTCGCTCGCTCCGCCAAATAAGCGTGACCCTCGTTTCTTTGTCAAATCAAGGAAGTGCAGAACTGCGCTAAGCCACATTGCCACTGCACGCAGAGCTAAGGCATGCCGCCACATTGCTGGCAGCGACGGGGCCATTGACTCGGAAAAGTTGCTGAGTTTTCTTAACGCCCAAGAGGGTTTATCCACACAACGCCACAGGGTCTGTCATGAACAAGCGAGCCCCATTTGCCATTACAGCCGCGTTGTTGTAACATCGGCGGCTGTACCGTGCACAGTTGCTTTTGGATTGGGTCGTTTGTGTGTTTTCGCGCAGCTGTAGTAACCAGGTTTTTATTGTGTAAACAAGTCCCCATCTAAAATGAGCGTTTATTGCCCAATTGGTTTTCCCCGAACCAACGTAAAACCTAAAATAAATAAAAATGTCGTGGAGCAGTGGCGCCGCCGCCGCAGCGGTTTGCGTGCTGACCTATGAACCCAGGGTAGCGAGTTCGATTTCCAGCCACGGCTAACATCAGTGGCGAGCGATGTCCTAAACGCTCCCGGGTCTCCCTCCTTCACCATCTCACACTGACCGGCGTGCTGAAGCTTCGTGTGCTGCTGTGCACGCCCACTCATATAATGGGCCGATAACACCTTCACATATAAAGGACCGCAGAGCTTTGAGGTCTGGCTGTGAGGGGGGGTTGGTGCCGGCTCCTCACCGCGTGGCGGCTGCTGCTGCCTTCCCCACTCGTCTTGGGACGCCAGGGTGGCTATGAGATGTTAACTACCTCGCCTGGTACACAGGAGGTCTGTGGGTTCGAGTCTGAGCTCAGAGGACACCGACGCAGCAGCAGCAGGAGCAGCAGCAGGAGCAGCAGGAGCAGCAGCAGCAGGAGCAGTAGCAGGAGCAGCAGCAACAGGAGCAGCAGCAGGAGCAGCAGCAGCAACAGCAGCAGCAGGAGCAACAGCAGCAGGAGCAGCAGCAGCAGGA